AGTTTCCCGCGCCGCCGCTGAAAGTGATAGTTCGCAACCATAATCCGTATCGCCCGAAGCTATCCGTCGAGGGCTGATTATTGAAATCGATAGACAAAGAGGACGTACGGAACATGGAGCGAGCCTATTGCAATCAGCTGAAACGGGTGATTATTGTTAGACTAAGGACGAAAATGATGGACTAACTATACAGGGTTACTACAGAATGAAGAAATTGAAATTCCCTGACAATTCCCGGTATCCCCTGACTGTGGCAACCCTGACGATGGGGTCTCTCTCGACTGGAGCACTTGTATACGGGAGAGTATTCCCATCCCTGTGCCGCTCTCTGACTGGTTCGTCAGTTTTAGGCTATCGTGGAGCTCCAAAGTTGGACCAATGTAAACAAACCCGGCCCAGAGGGACACGTAAGTATATTCTCGGCTGCGACATGAATGAAAATCATACTTAAAGGTTAAATTTTGGCATAAATATAAATCAAAGTTCAATCCGAACTCAATTTAGAAATTGTATACTAAAAAATTTCCATCACATCTAAAATCACGTATACAACTTCGTCGAACTTTGTCGCCATCTTGTTTGTTTACATTGGGCCAAACTAGGAGCGGAGGGGCTCGGGTTTGTTTATTGTTTATAAGATTCGCCCGTATGAGGGCTTGGCCTTAGTGCCTAGCACAAACAGCCACTGACAAGTTCGGGTTTGTTTACATTGGTCCAACTTAGGTGCTCCATGATGGCCGACCGATCAGAGAGCGGCACACTTTTCCTGTAGTGAAAGGATTGAGATGGTAATACTTAACCGTACACAGGTGCTCTACTCGCAGCCTGCCATTAGCTGGGCATTTAGCAAAAACTCGATCAAACTTGCCTCGTTAGAGTAAAATCTCAAATTCAGGACATAGGAAGGGGAAGGGGAAGAAAAATGACGGCCTTTGCGCGGAAAATTTTTGGCGGATACTCGAATCCGCAAACGAGGAAAATGGCGATTCGAGTGCGTTCGTAGGCGGACGTCTTTCGGGTGATGATGGAGCGGTCACTGAATCAGGTGAGTCAGCGTGACATCACTGCGTCTGCCGGCAGCCTACCAGCTGACAGATCGCCGGCGTTAGACCGCTCCGATGAGCTCATTTTACGACGTGTCAAAAGTTAGGGTTGGGGTTTTTTTAAACTCGAGGCCTCGCAAACAAGAGCTTATTTCATTGCAGGATTTCTTGCAATTTGAGGCCAAGCAAACTTGAAGTCGAGCCTAACGATTCAAAACCACTTCTCGCGCTATAAACAGCCGCTTTGTGATGGTAAAAATTACAAGTTACAACTCGAAAACCTGCTGATTTTCTCCAACCAAACAACAAGACTTCCTTGCACTTGTCCACAACAATGAAAAAGAGGCTCATATCTTTTCCGCTGGCTCAGAGATTTTAACGCAGAGTAGAAAAGTTGGATGGGGCGAAACGCTTGATATAATTATTTCGACTTCCAAGTGGATTAAATTGCATATCCACGAAATGAAGGAGAACAAGAGCTCTTCGGCTAACTCGGAAACTCTAACGCAGGAGTAGAAAAGTTAGATGGGACAAAACACGTGATAAAACTATTTTGACCTCTAGGAAGAAAAAATTGCAGATCCACGAAATGGAGGGGGACGCAAACCCTTTTCGGTTGACTCAGAGACTTTAACGCAGGGGTAAAAAAGTTAGATGGGATGAACACGTGATACAACTTTTTTGACTTCCAAGAGGATAACATTGCATATTCACGAAATGAAGGAGAAAGCGGTGTTCTATATCATCGCAAATATTCAGTTTGTCAAACCTGACTTTCAGTTCGTGTGACTGGACGTTCGGGTTCGGTTCGTATAACCGAATTTAGAGGGTTAAAACTGCTAATGAAAGGAGTTCGGTTACATGAACCGAGCGTTTGATTACACTAATAAAAAAAATCGATTTTTTTTAATGGTGACTGCGCTTCTAGAGACTGAGCGCTTAACGCACTGTTTTTTAGTTTTTTTTTTACACGAATTAGAGAAAAGTAAAGATGATCACTGAGAAGTGCTTTCTCATTTCTTTCACGCAGTAATGCTAAGCTTACTCCTTTCTTCATTGGAAGGCAAGGCGCATGAGTGAAGTTTTTGAAAAAATTGTGACATTAATGGTTTGAACAAAAACTACCCTAAATACTAATGCTGTTAAAAATTTGCTCTCAAATTCCGATTTTAAGGCACCAAAAAGTAAGTTTGAACTTTCTCTCCGCTGTAAGGATCCATATAATCTTGAAACTTCCAACAAGTATTTCTCGAAAAAGCAAAAAACACTTATGAGCCTTGTCCTCAAGCCCCTCTTTCCGTTGTTTCCCGGACGGAGGAACGTAACTGCATTCCAAGGTTGCAAAATTGACTCAAACACTTCGACTTCTTGCGAAAACGTACCTATCGAGCTAATATCGAAAATTTTCCTGAATTTTGCGTAAAATCAGAGGAAAAGTCAGTGAGATTTACAGATAGAGATACCAAACATTTTCCCGGTAAAAATGCGAGTTGCTGGGGGAAATTTGGCAACACTGAAAAGTAGTTACGTTCTTTCGTGAGTGGAACGACGAGTTTACCTCTGTTGTGCCGTACTAAGGAAGAACGCCGTATGAACATTCGAGAGTTGCCTGATTTCTCTTGATAATACATATATTTTTGACGACATCCGTGCATATTTTTCCTTGAAATTTTCAGATATTTTAGATTGAATTTTGTACCCAATCGTCTGATTTAGGGGGAAAATATTCACAATTTTCCGAACAAATTCGGTTTTTCATCAAAAGAAAGTTGGCAACGTCCGGAGGCTCTTACGGCGTTCTACCTTACTGCCATGCTAAGGAAGAACGCCGTACGAGCCTTCAGACGTTGCCAACTTTCCTTCAATAAAAACCGAATTTTCTAGGAAAATTGTGAATATTCCTTTCCAAAATTTTCAGACTATTTTGTACGCCATTTAATGTAAAATATCTGAAGATTTCAAAGAAAAATGTGCGTAAATGTCGTCAAAAATTCATGTTTTATCAAGGGAAATTTGGCAACTCTCGAATGTTCATACGGCGTTCTTCCTTAGCACGGCAGTGTTCTGGTACCCCATAACCAATAACCATGCACGTGCAGGTTTTACTGTTTCCCGAAAAGAATGATGAATCAGTCTTACTCTGTGGCGAGGCAGAACGGTAGATGACACATAGCTCTGGAAAACGCGCGAATGAACTTACGACCAACACCGACACTGTAAATGATTTTTGTGGTTTCATCTAGGACTCTTTGGTCAGCCGTCGCCGTGTCAATCCGTGCCGTCCATTAGATTCGGACTTTCCCGCGTAACGGACCTACTGTGATTCCCCGTTGTCGTGGCCAAAGAGCTCTTTTCCCCAGCGAAAACTCGCCAAGATTTGGCAACGCTTTCCTGAAAACACTGATATTATCACCGGGGAATCCTGTTGTAGTCACGCCGCAGGTACCGAGAAAATTGGCATTATTCGGAATTGGCGTATGACGACGTGATAAAGAATCGTAACGAGGGACAAATTAAGGAAGGTCATTACTCGTTGAGGTCACGGTTTCGCGAATCACCCGCAGCGCGGGAAAATCGAGGTCAGGTCATGGACCGTCTTATCTTGTGTGTCAAAGGATGGTGACATGAAGTAGACAGTCGGAAAATTACCTTTTTGGATGGGCAGGGTGATCAAAATGGTTAAATCTTTGCGAGGCGGCTAAGGACAACTCACCGATTGAGTTTTCTAGCAGAACTCGAAGTTCCGAAGTATCACTTATGACTCTCATAACTTCCTTCAAGCGGATGATTAAAAAGGTTTGGCCCAGCCAGTGGACAAGATTTTCACCGACAGCATGATGATTTCAAGGGGCAGAATTTTTTTCTTTTCTAAGAATGTTTCTCTGGCATTGTGAGAATTAACTCTGAGATTTAAAATCACTGAATAATGATTGAGAACATTTTAAATGATCTGAAAATCAAGTTATGCTCAACATTTGAAAAAATGAGGGGAAAGGGCAAGTTAGTAGCTATCATAATCGGGAATTGCAGGGGTGCAAAAAATGCCCGAATAATGTGGAACAGCCCCCAAAATGTGGGGAGAGGGAAAATTTTGAAGGGTCATCAGTCAATAGTTAAAGGAAAAACATGGGAAAAGGTCATCTTTTTTAAAGTGGTGGGAAATTCTGTGGAAAACCGATGAAAAAAAAGTGGAAAGCCCGCGGGCAGACACATGAAAATGTGGAAGCTTGGAGGATTTTACACCCCTGGGGAATTATGTCTCTTGACAGAGAATAGAAACGCAATAAAAGTCAGCAGCAGAAATTTTATCATCAGAGCAGCAAAATTTAAACGAGTGGTTGTAGAAGACGTGAGGCGGAGCAGGGGTACAGAGACCTCGCAAATAAGTCAAAGCCTGGTCGAGAGAGATGGGAGAACCCCCCCAGAGAACAAGAAAAATTGAGGGATCCCCCATAAAAATGGCACAAAAGGGGGGGACCGTATATAGAATACTCCGTTTCAGAGGTGAAAATTTCTAATTTTTTTGGGGGTGTTTGGAAGAAAAGGGGGAAGGCTTGGAGCGTTCGCCCACCATTAAACTGATGCTAGCTCATGGTAGTCATCATCATGGTCATTCAAGTCTTGCTTGTGTCACTGTCCATCAATGGTATCATCTAAATGGTACCATGATGGTATTCGCCTGTTGATTCATGTGAATTCGTAAGTAACTGGGGGTTGATCAGCGTTTCAACATATCATGGATAAACTCTGAGGTGTCATCAATATTTTTCACACCCTATCATATGTTGGATACTGTGAACTTGTTAAAACAGTTCGGAGGATACTGCCAATATAATCAATGTCCTCTTACGAAGATAGATTGAGTAGCTAGGTCAAAAGCAGACAGCAAGGAGGATGCAAGAACAGACTACCAGCATACTAACAGATCGCAATAATGGAAAGCAGAAAACTACTTACGTATTTCCATCATCATCTTGTTCAAAGAACTGAAGCCAGGGATAGAGCTGCTGGGACCTCTGTGAGTAATCCTCAATTGCTTCACTAACGTCTGTTGATGATTCGATGAAGCCACTCAATTGTGAACTTAGGTCGACACCGCTATCTAGAGCTGAATCCAGCCGCGATTTGTCACTATCTTGATGACTTGGTTCTGTCCTGTCTGATTTCACTTGTGTGGACCTACTAGACGAACTTTCTTCATCATCTATTATCTCGGAAGTAAGATTTGAACTGGAAATTAGACCCGATATGAAGCCGGAATCAATTCGACCCGAATCGTAATCCGAATCTAAGTAATCTTTGGAACTTTTGTCTGGTGATGACATGGTTAAACTGAATTTTGATGAGCTTTCAATCAGCGACTTACTTTCAACTGTGATATGATAGATTGACACAATCAGCACATAGTAATCAGAACAAATGGCGTTTATTACACAGATTGGAGGTAATCAGTGATTACTTGACGAAAGGCAAACATCACGAAAATACAATACCGGCATTGTGAGACTGATAGCGCGGGCTTAGATTCCGAAAGAGTTAAAAACGGCACACTAATTTACAATCCTGATCTCTTCGAAACTGATAAGATAGATAAAAAACACGGAATTGCAGTTAACACACTTTGGAGGTTATCTGTGATGATCAGGTGATGATGAAGGATTTCTAATCAGGCCCAAAGTCGTAAAATGCCTTCCAATTACTCGAGTGGCAATGAGTAAATGATTCACGGTTACACGCGGAAGAAGGAGGACGAAAAATCTAAAAATTTATTCGGAAAATTCAAAAGAAACACAGGAAGTGAAACGGACTAGATACTCGAGGTTAAAATCTTGCAAGGTGATGGCACAGCGCAACCGATTTCCACAACTAATTCGGGGCGAACACAACACGAATGAGATTTAAATTCGACTGCGTACAATCTCGGTGGATCATAAAACACTCACGATCAAGCACAATTGATAAAAAAGGAACAGAATCAAAACATTTGCACCAGCAACGTCCGAAAATGCGTTCGCGCAATGCAACAGGAATCGTCACTTGGTCGCTCTTTCTTACTCATTCTGATCACAGTTCTCTCTCTTCGACGCGAACAGCTCTCCGAGCTACCCCCACGCCTCTCTTCCGACGGAAGATCGTCCAATTACAGTGCGATCATGAGCAAAAGCAGCGCTCCGATTGGTCGAGCGACGGTGGTTTTTTTCTTTTCTCTTTTTTCTAGCTGCGCGATCCCGCGCGCCGCGGAATTCAATCGCGAAACCAGGGAATCCCCCACCGCCGGGGATTCCCTCCTAAAGAGAAACCGTAATCTCGTCAATGTCAAATTTTGTGGCCATGATGTCACAAGACAGACATTAGACCAGAGATTATGCATGTGCTTTGAGCGTCTGGCCGTGTTCGCCGGTGACGCGACATCTGAAATTTATTCTTCCGTTATTGGGCACGCGACCCGCATATTGCTTCCGGGCACCCGGAGTCATGCCGGAGTAATTGAAGTTTTAAGAGCAAGTCTCACCAGATCTTCTGGTAGCCGTTAATAGGTGGTGTATCATGGGCATAACTAGGAACTTTTCGCGGTGGAGGGGCAGAGGGACACCTCAACAAGGGGATATGGCCGATATGGGACTGATGGGAGCACGCGAAGACAGGAAGACACCCCAGTAAGGGCAGCGCTCCGCTTCCATGTCCGTCAAGGATTCCGGGATTCGGAAATTTTTTATTCCCATTTCTCCCACTCCATGATCGTTAAAAGTTCCGGGATTCTTTTCAGATTTTTTCAAAAGATCCGGAACGTTTCGAGAATTTCAAACGTTCCGGGGAAAATCTCAAAAGTTCCGAAATTCGGTACTAGCTCTGGGAAATGGGAGCACGGGAAAGATCAAGAGATTTTCCTCATCTGGAGGGGAGTTCAGAGGGCCACTCTCGAAAAATTTTGACAAATTTATTCGTCTGAAGAACAATCTTGCGCTTTTATCACCGAAAAATTGCGCTCATGTCTCTTTGAGAGTGGCCAAGTGGATGTCTGGAACCAGGCCCTTCTCTCCCGAATTAACTCCCATGTGGTCAGTATGAAAGTGAAAGGGTTCATATCGACGGTGTAAGTCGGCAATCACATAAATCGTTTGCGGTGTCTGAAAATCTCCGCCTCTATGTCATTTTTTTAAAGGATATCAAATTGACATCATTCTTTGAAGTTTTTGCTGAATTTTCTTCGCAACGAGAGGAAAAATCACGGCAGTTTTAAAGAGTTGCCGTTGAGTAGTTTTCCGTTAAAAAAATAAGGTATTACAGGAAGTCTGCGACGTCGCAAACCGAGTTATGTGATTGCCGACTTACACCGTCGATATGTTTCTAAAAGTTCTCATCCGCTATCCCTTCATGGACAGAGCTAGGAACTTTCGAGGGAGGGGACAAAGGGGCGACATGAGACGGACTAAGCCCCTTTAAATACATAGAGTACCCCATTTAATGAAGAAAATACCTACAGACTACAAATATGTACCAGAAATCCGGACGATTGATAGAGAGACCGTTACACATATGTTACAGAGAAAGATCAGCCTTCCTTGAAAAAACACAAATTTCTTAATTATGGGCGAATCCCCCACCCCATAAAAAGTCGGAATGTAGAATTTAGGTACGAAAAAACCTGAAATCACTTATTGCCGAAACGTCAAACGGCCGGTCCCACTCGCCGAATCGAAATAAAAATCGCTAAGAATTCCATGTAGTCGGCGATCACCAGGACCGGATTTACATGTTTAGCGCCCTAGGCTAAACTTAGGGTGGCGCCCCTAAAAGTAGGCGCTCTCGTAGGGGGGGGGGGGGGGGTCTCCCAGACGCCCCTCCCCTCCAGATCAGAAGGATGATGTTAAGTGTCCGGAAAATGTTCAAATTCACCTTTAAAAAAACACCTATGTCAACCACAACGTAGACACTTTTTAATAAGTCACGTTTTTTAATAAATTCTCAAAAACTTTGCGCCCCTTAAAATGTTGCGCCCTAGGCTATAGCCTATGTAGCCTATTGGTAAATCCGGCCCTGGCGATCACATAAACTAGGTTTGCGACCTCGCAGACTTTCTGTCATACTTCATTTTTTAAACGGAAAACTAGGTACTCAACGGCAATTCTTTGAAACTGCCGTGATATTTTTTCTCTATGTGAAGAAAATTCTGCCTTAACTTTAAGGAATGATGCTAATTTCTTCTCCTTTAAAAAAATAACACAGAGGCGGAGATTTTCAGACGCCGCAAACAAGGTATGTGATTGCGGACTTGCGCCGTGGGATTTTAAAGTGTTGAAAATGTTATACATCCGGCATTTTCGGAAAATTAGGCCTCCGGTAGGTACTTCGAAGTTGAGAGAATGTCTCCATATTTTCTCTAGACGAAGGAACAAATTGAACACCTAAGCGGCGTTTATAGAAAAAATAAACTAAGTTCATACTTAGTGCATAGTTAAATTCACACTAACACCCATCCGTTTAAGAAAATCATCATCATTCAAATAGTTGCTGTATCAGAAGAAAGTCTTATCCACGAGCTCAAACGCTCACAGATCACGAATATAATGACTGATTTGAGCGGTAAAAGCGCCTGGCGCAATTACGCATGCAACTAAACTAACGCGAAAGTATCCGGTTGCATTTTCTTTTTTTGAAGGCACTTTTAAAGGCGAAATCTTCCTCTGAGCTACTTTCTTTGGGATTATTAAAGCACTTGCTCACATTACTTCGGAGAGAATAAAAGTATTTACACGATTTTCAATTTGGATAAATATTTTGTTGATGTAAGCCTTATCAAAGGCGATATGATGAAGGAACCCATAATCAGTGCGACTGTGTTCAACAGCCACGCATCTCCATTCAGGTGTTTTTTTACTCTTGGTTTTTCAATATATCGTCACCTTCCAGGCAAAGTATCACAAGCGCCATGCGACGTTTAAAAATTTCCGCCGCCATTATATTTTTTTACAGAGAAATTGTTCAACGAAGCTGTCCGAAAATTTCACTGAATTTTTTTTGTGCTGCCGATAAAATTTAGTGAAATTTCCAAACAGATTCAACCAACAATTTCTCGGTAAAGAAATAAAATGGCGGCGGAAATTTTTAAACGTCGCATGGCGCCTGTGATACTTTGCCTGGAAAGTGACGATATGGTGTGCAATTCCCGCTCCTTTTTAAAACCCTCTATGGTATGGTTTACTTATTCATGATATTGCATTTTAGGTTTTTTCAAGGTCGAATTACTCCGCGTGCCATGGTGCTGGGAATCTTGATCAGTTTTTGGGTTTTTTTTAAAAAAAAATATTGTTACCAAAATTTTGAAATTATAAGGAATAAATTTGGGACTCTATTTTTTTCACGGAGACTACGACTTAGTGTAGTGTTCCTACCTATACCTTTGTACGGTGCCATACCATATGTTTCGGTTTCATATCTATCTCTATTCATTAGCCTAGCGCATGTCTCACCTTTTCATCTTTTCCTTTTAGCATCTTCTCACCTTTCCTGCCATGCTAAGGAAAAACGCCGTATGAACATCCGAGGGTTTGGGTTTCCAAATTTCCCATCCGAAAATATTAATTTTTGAGACAAATAATGAATATTTCCACTTAAAATCTTCCGGTACTTCAGATCACATCGCGATGAAAATTATCTGGAAAATTGGACGGAAAAACACAAGTTTTCCAGAAAATTCGTATTTTACCGAAAGAAATGTGGCAACGCACAAAGGTTCATAAAGCGTTTTTCCTTTTAGCACGGCAGTTTTCAACCCCGCGCCGGGGGAAACCCTTGTTCGCGACCCCGCGAACTACCGTTAGCCTGGCACGGATTGTTCCCAACCTTCTCCTTCGCATTCTTTCCCTGCCTTCTTTCTTCGTCATCTTTCTCTTCATGATGATCATCCCCTTGGCATGAGCAACCAGCACACTCTGATTTCGGTTCGGCCATCGCTCGGGCCACCACGCCACACCACGCCGGGTTCGCGACGCCCTCACATAGTGGTTAGATTTAGTGCCACACTGTACATTTATCTACTTGTATACATTTGTTTGTTCACACGAGATCCGTTGTTTTTGTTACATCCGTATACGGTGCCACTACGATACACCAACTTCGATTCGTGTCTCCAGAATTCAAGATCCGTAAGTAACTACTTCATGCCATGGAAGGATAGTTTTTCGAAAGTAAATGAAACAACTATAGCATGCTCAAAATTTCTTCAGAATACAAAATGTGTTAATAAATAAGACATTTCGATGGTGTAAGTCGGCAATCACATCTAGTTGTGTATGAAAATCTCCGCCTCTACGTTATTTTTTTTTAAACGAGAACAAAGTGACCTCGTTCCTTGGAGTTTGTGCAGAATTTTTTTCGCACAGAGAAGAAAAATCCCGGCAGCTTTAAAGAATTGCCGTTGAGTAGTTTGCCGTTAAAAAAATAAAGTATGACAGGAAGTCTGCGACGTCGCAAACCGAGTTTTGTGATTGCCGACTTACACCGTCGATATGTTAAATAATTCAGAGGGATTTGTTTCACTCAATCATGTTGGCTTCATTTACGATATGAGTAAGTAGCGCTACGGTCTCTCTAAAATTGCCTTCATTTTGATTCTACGCAATATCAGTTACAGATGTGATCTCCAAATCAGGGGGAAACTTACCGATACGGAGTGCTATCTATGGGCGTTTGTGTTTACTAAAAAACGATTGGGCTTGCAAATTCTACATAGATCTCGTTAGCGTCGTTAAGGGATTTTCCCCTTTCAAAGGGATTTAGGGGATTATAGGCTGATAAGAAGCCAAACGGGAATTCTCAGATCCAATCAGTGAACAAACTGTGTTGTTTTTGTCCGGTTTATTGATAAGCTCCTCCAAGAAAATGTTCGAAATTTCGGATAATTCTTGGATTTTTTACTCTATTTATCCTCACTGTAATCATTTTTAAAGTTTACTCATGTATTCCTCTTGTAATATCGCATTTATCTCATCATGAACATGAATTCGAAATCTTTAATGGATCTTTGTCGTCTCTGCCTTGTGGACAGCAAGGCACTCTTGCCCATTTTTGAACACAATAAAATTACCAGCCATAAGATATCCACTTGTTTGCCTATCAATGTGAGTCCATATCAGTATCCTTGCTCTTCCTAGTGTGTGAATTTTCATACCTTTATTTTGGAGGGAATCTGAGCGTCAGAATTTGAGGACTTCACAAAACCTCTCGTGTCTGTCCAAGTACCTCATTTGTGCTGCGTCTAAATTATTGTCTTGTTTCTCTGTAATCTTAGCTCAGGAACAAATGTCCTTGTTGAATTAGATGAAGTTCCTGTAACTCTCTGAAAATAATAATTACTTGATACTTATGACCACATGCCTGAACTGATTTCTTCTTTACTTCCAAGTTAAAACTAGGAACCACAAGCTCATTGATTATGCGAAGTAGCATTACATATCAGTAATGTTGCAACCAATAATTTCTGCCTCTATTGACGAAGGTGAAATCACGCAGTAGTGATTTTCGAGGATGACTAAATTCAGATGGTCCAACTTTCTATCCGACAAGAGCGGAAGATTAGTTTTTAAGAAATCCTGTCACTCAGCTTTTTATTTTAAGAATGAAGTTTATTCAGAAGTCTGCAATGCTACAAACCAAAATATGCATCCTGCAGTAACAAAATTAACAGTACCCCAGCCAGAACACTTCCTTCAGATAGGACATAGCTTATGGTCAGTCTCATCGGAAAAGCTTCTTAGTCCAAGTACTTTCAGGATGCCCTATGGAAACGCATGACATTCAAAACTCACACAATTTCTAAAGATCTATTTTCATATTACTTTCTGCCTTAATTTTTGAGATTTCAAGACTGTGAGGAGACACATCAATCACGCCTTGTTAATATATGTAGAATCAATTTTTTTTTCCAACCCTGCTGTTTATTTAAGCTTTGATTAATCTTTTCAGTTTGCCGAAAATGATAATCTCCCACAGAAAATCTGCGAGGAGTGCTCAAGTAAAGTTGACTTTGTGTATGAATTTTGGAATCTGACGTCGCTTGCAGACCAACAATTACATGCCTGGCTTGCTGGACAATCCGATGGAATACAGTTCAACTTCGTCAAGGAAATCAAGGCTGATTCCAGTGACGTAAGTATGCTGATCTCTATGGTTTAGTTGTTCGAGATCAGTGTGGGACAGGATTGAGAAAGTTCCAAAACCTGGATCGTTTCTGGTGATTTGGAGTCTCTGCCTCACAGCCAAATTTACAATTTGCTTTAGGGACAAATTTCATGGCTAAATGCCTGTCTTTACACCAAAACATGCAACTTGAACCACTTTTAAGTGGTGAGAGGGAACAGCAGGAGAAGAAAGATTTTTTTAATATCACCTCACCACCGAAAATTTGGCGCATGTCTGTTGTGGATTGTGAGATCAATCGTTTTTTGAATCCTTGTAGCGGTATTTTTTCAATGGTGTCATTTAAGAAACATTTTTTGAAATAAATTTTGCAACACTTGGAAACCTCGTCCAATGATAAAATCAGGGCATGAAATTGACAGTATTACACGGGCGTAGCTTTTAAAATATATTGTCTATAAATTACTTCAGTTCAGTCTAATGTGCTCTTAGTGCACATGTCATTCCTTTCTGCTTTAGCTGCCTGCAGAAATTGGATGGAATGGAGCCAATAAATTAATTATTTATTATTATTAATTAATTATCTATTATTATTTATTAAATTTATTTATTAATCATTGGAATTAATTATCTTTGATGTAAATGATGGGCCAACAAAATTAAGTTACAGGGGTAAAAAAAAATATATATTTTTCCTCTTTGCTAAGACTTCTAACACAATGTAACTCAGATTTTTTACTTTCAAAATCTGACAGACAAATTTTGGCCTCAAGGCTTCAAAGTGCAAAAATGACCAATTCGGAGCTAATATGAAGCCAAAGTTCTTTTTCATCAAATAATTTTTCCAGACTTCTAGGACAACCTACATTTCAGCTTTAACTGTATTGATTTCTTAAAAATTGTTTTATTGTTTGCGCAGGTTGTGAGCTCGGCCAACTTTGAATCTCTTCAAAACGGAACATCAACCAGCAATCATACTAGCGACTCAAAAGAACATTCATTAGAAAATGATGTGACAGCATTCACTAATGATGCAAGCGATGACAGTGGTGCTGATGGGAATGATATAGACTTCGAAGCGTCATGCTCATCGCCATCTCCTGATGCCATTCCTGGTCCTTCCAGTAAATCAGAGCAGAAGAAAAAATTCAAGGTGACAAAGAAACAGGATTTTGAGCGGAAGAAAAATGTTAAAGCTGCCAAAGTATCAAAAAGCCCAACAAAAAATTACATAAAGAGTATCAATCAAAAGGAAAAAGACGGAAAAGGGAACAGAAAATCAATTGATAAACCTCAAAATCTGCCTGTCATTAGGTGTACCAGCTGTTTTACGGATTGTCAATTAGATGATGTCCGTATAAATTCTGTGAATAAACTAGTGTGTAAAAATTGTGTTGATGCGAACTTTGAGTGTCCGAAGTTGATCGGCACTGGCACTGAAAAAAATAATTATACCTGTAACGTCTGCTTTAAGGAGTTTAAATCAAAGAAGGTTATTTTGCGGCACTTATATGTGCACCAAGAAGACAAACCACATGTCTGTGACGTTTGCTTCAAGTCATTTAAGCGTCCAGAAAGTATGAACGCTCACAAAAAGATCCACGACAAAGACCACCCAATGTACACCTGTGACTCATGTGGTTTTACCACTGCTCATAAAAAGTCACTGGAGATGCATTGTAAACGACACGTACTTGATTACACTGTAAAATGCGAGATTTGTGGCAAAGGATATTACTCAAATAATGAACTCTCCGATCATATGAATATCCACACCGGTGCCAAGCCCTACATGTGTGCAATTTGTGGTAAGGCATATCCTTACAAAGTCAACCTCCTTGCCCACATGAAATATGCTCATAATCCAACTCCGAAAGAACCACAAATCAATCAGTGCGAAACATGCGGAAAAGTTTACTCCTTCAAGCGATCTCTGGTCTTGCATAAACGCACCCATACGGGTGATAACTGGTATGTTTGTGATATTTGCGGCAAAGTCTTGTCAAGTAAGGAACACTTGAAATTCCACCGCAGAATTCACACCGGTGAGAAACCAAATAAGTGCTCCTTTTGTGGCAAGGGCTTTGCCAAAAGTGGCAATCTGACACTGCATGAAAGAGTCCACACTGGTGAAAAGCCTTACACTTGTGAAATCTGTGGGAAATGCTTTTCCCAACGGTCAACGTTGACTATTCACCGCCGGTACCACACTGGACAAAGACCGTACGTTTGTGATATTTGTAACCGTGGCTTTGTTTGCCGTGCTCTCTTAACAAACCATCAGAAATCTCCATGTGCTATTGAAAGGAGACCAGTCACTCAGTTAGCATCCTTAACACAATTCGTTGAAGTTATTCAACCCCTTTAAAAATACGGAGAGCTGAAAAATTTCAGAGAGAGACTGGCTGTTTAGCTGAGGCAAGTCCTGAGAGGATCTGGCTAAAAATTAGAGTTTAGAAGAAGATATTTTTACTTTCACAACAGCTGTATAAAACTATTTGGAAGCCCCTTAGAATCTTTTCACCAAGCAATGTCAATTTTTTTCCCGAAAGGTTACATATTAATTTCTCTCAAGGATTGAGCGAGCTTAGACCAGATTATTTTTATAAAGTCCATGATTTACTTCTATTCTCTCTACTAATTTATTCTTTAAAATGAACAGAAATTCAATTATGAGCGGAAGTTGTTTTGAGGTGTAACAGAGTTGTCAATAGGTACATTTTTTTAATGTAAATTGAATTCTGCACATACTTTTGTATGTGTTGAAATGACGGCTTTAAATCTATACCTTTAGATAAAATTAATTTTTAAGATGTTTCTTGTTAAATTAGTAATTTGAGGTTGCTGTAAGATCAAGTTGAATTTTTATTTGCACTATCTCAAAAATTAAACAGCTCAGTAGGGCAATCATTTGATGGAAGAAAAAGTCATTTGGCTTTATTCAGGGAGACATTGGGTATCAAAGTTAGAATGGTACGTAAAATATGCCTTTTAAAAGTTCTGTTTTGCATGAGGTTATATCTTTTCTGATGTACTGTTTAAAATGAGGATAATCAATATGAAGGTATGCTCTTCTGATTCAGACCAACTGAAATGGACTGAGCACCAGTCGTGTTGTCTTTTTTTCAGTCTTGGCAGGAAGTCTATGGAAGCTCCAATTTTACATTATTCAATTCTAATTGGTCTGATCTTTTGGTTGGGCGGAACTCCCCACCAAGACTGAGATGGAACCGACGCAACTAAGCGTTTTGTTGATTTTGGATGCTTGAATGAGGGAAGATCATACCTTCGTTTCACTTACCTTGGTTTGAGTGTTATTTAATAAGGCAGTAATGTTTTATCTTCAAGAGCATTTAAAATTTTTGTGCAATTCGTAATCTTGTCTACCATTTACTTGCATAAAAGATAAAATGAATAGTTTTGGCAAGAAAAAAGGTCCTCTCCCCTCTCCCTCTTACAAGGTTCTCTTTTTTGTGCTCTCAAATCATAGGTCTGTGCTGAGGTAAAGTAAAGTTTGATAAGACAGAAGTTATGTGTTAATCAGAAGAGATTTTAATTTTTGACCAATTAGTGATCAGTTCTATTGTAAAATTACTACAATGTTACTGCAGGAATCTAAGTTTATCTTGCATTTTTAGCCAACAAACCGTGCATATAAGATATCATCCTCCCATTTCAAACCCAAACAAAGGTATTGAGCTGTGTCAGTATGTCAATTGTACCCCTATTGTCACCAAAGAAATAACATTGCCTAAATGAAATTTTGAAAAGTATCACACTGGAATAGGGGAACACCTTCTTAGACACTTTCATTAATGAACATGTGACATGAAATCTACCGATCGGTACCAGAGTTCTCTCTTATGGAATTTCTTCTCATAGAAAAACAGTTTTGTTGTCTTTTTCATAATACAGGCCACTATCGTTATAAGTTGTGTCCCCTAAAAATGTCAATTAGGGGGTGTTATTTCTTTGATGATGTTGTGCTGCTTCTTTAACTTTCGAGAAGGTTTGTAAATTGATTTTTTTCTATTTCCTGCTGCTTTTGAAATTTGGTCTGTGATCGTTTGAATTTATCTCTGTGCCGAAATTTCTCAAAACTGAGGATTGTTTTCGAAATGTATGAATGAAGTAATGTAATGAAGTAATGAAGTGATGTAATAACATCCAGCACCTCATTGTACTAATTTTACTTAGCATGAGATTCTATGAACGTCACCCATAGGATGAAATTCGCGACTCCTTTTACGCGGTTAAAATTTGATCCCTGTGCAAAATTGAACTGCTACTTAAACTGTGTTATTTTAGTGATACAGTTTTGTATATTTATATCAATTCTAGCAATAGGAGAACATGTTTTTTGAATAAAATGAATGTAAATTGATCCCAACATAACTTTTCATTGATGTTGATTCGTTGAGTTCTCTTTGATACTCTGATCTAAGAATTCGGGATTACTTTATCATTTATTATGATTAACTGAAAATCAAACAATCGACATATGAGTGGACTTCAGCTCAAGAATTTGAGTTATGATCTTTTCTATTCGATGTTTGGTTTTTTAGGTAGAGGTAGGTCACACCAACCACGAAATTTCACACGATTTGTACATTGGGGTTCCATATTACATGACTTGTCATCAGTCATGTGACGTCACCAGAATGACACGTCTTTAGTATGTTATTGTTTAATAGTTCCTGATTTAATAAAATGTGTGCTTGAATACTTAAGATTTAGTTTAAAGTATGAGAGCTCTTACCCAGTGACTCATGTTTATGACTGCATGTCATTCTGGTGATGTCAGTTGGGTGACCCCCACTTTTTAACCAATTTTTCGATAAAATATAAGCCCATTTTAAAACTTTGGATCACTTCTATACATAGTTCTCTCAACAAATAATAGTTTCAAAACAGCATGCATCTGATTTCATGACACACAGAGAGAAATAATGTAAGTCCTTCTTGCAATTAAGTAATAAATTTGGCTTTCTGACTCTTTAATTTTTGTTTTATCGAACGACGTTTTAATTTTTTTGGTTCTTTTAAGTAGCTACAGCTACAGCTGATTGCTTTCAATCAGTATTCAGGAAGATCACAGCTCAGCTGCACTAATGGTTTCAACTCCAAAACAGTAAGTGTCACCAGACTGACATTAATGGTAGTTTTTTTGACTTCAAAGTCTCATTTCTATCCATGATCGTAAAGATATTCCGATGCACGACATTGTGTCCTATGATATGGCGCTCCAAGATAATAGAAAAGTGGTTTATAGCTTGATATGGCCAAATCTCTTTTCAACTTTTTCCCAGAACCATTTTCTCCCATTAGCTGAAATCCACCCATATATGTCGCAGACAAGTAATCAAATCAGGCATTTTAACAAGTGCCTAGGCAAATGGTAAAATTTTTACAGTTTACAAAATCTTTTACATTTCTGACGAATGGCCTTCAAGTTGTCAATATTTTGAAACTAGGAATTCATCAAATCCACGAACTTTCCTTGTCTTATCGTCTCTAAATGCTCATCAAATAAGTACTTCGGCAGCCCTTCAAAAGTTCTCTGTTTTACAGCGGGCTGCAAATTTTGAGATACATTTTCATTTAAGGGTTTAAAATTTGTAAAAATACCATCGTATGTTACAAATTTTTAACAGAGAACCCTATCTTATTAGGTAAATCATTTTCTTCAAAAGCAGCATTAGAACCAGAATTTTAAATCAAATGAGAATATTCAATGATTAGCTTAGGCTTATTTGATGAAATGCCGGATTTGACTATTGACCTGTGACCTAAAGATAATTAAGTCAATTGATCAAAAATTTCAATATAAATTACATAAGTAATTGATGAGAACAATCGAAAATTTGGCAAGGCTGAAACTGCCGGTTCATTTCGCTAATACGCACTTTTCCAAAATGTAATGTTTTTGGAGATTAAATAAGCATCAGATTTGCACAGCATGCCAACATACTGGGTGGGTAGTAGTTGCTCATATTGGTCTGAAAATCTTAAATTTCTCAATTAAATGGAACAATCAAAATTAAAGGGATTTGATCAATTGAAAACATAATTTATAATTCGTTTTTGAGGAATTGAGCCATTGAGGGTTAAACCTTAAAATGCATGATACTCTTGAAAGAGCTGCCTACTGCTATGTACTTAAAAGAGTTCTGATGGACATAATGCTCCTAGCATAGCGAACACTGGAAACTAAAATGCACTACGCATAGTACATTAGCTATTATTATGAGAGATGCTTTTAACATCACTCACTTGCGCAACAAATTTTGGAAATGGATATTCAACAACACATGGCCAAATTTCGGCAACGCCTCAAAGCTTTCTATTGAGTCAGGGCTGATGATGGTCCACATGGCTGGCGGAGCCAGTTTCAAATAATTTCAAAAATTTTGCTGCCCAAAACAGCCATTTTTGAATTTCATGCTTTTCATAATCTTGTACAGATAGTCCTCACTCACAGCTCATGGAAAATATCCATAGATCAATTTCAGATTTTTGGATAAAAAAAACTTTATTGTACACTACACAAAAGAAAGAGGAATAGGAAAACAAGAAATGTTTTTGAGAAACTTGAAATTAGACAGCTTCAATGGACTATATTAAATGCACCAGTTTGAAATCATTGTGTTGAGGTTCTGGAATAATGTGCATATATTTCTTCAAAATGGTGTCATTCTTACGGTGGCCGTACCACTGTTCTATGTATTGGCGATTATAATCAGGATCAAATTTTTCCGTTGACCAGACAACTTTTCCGGGCTTCAAAGCAAAAATTGTTAAGTTCTTTCCCATTGCAACCTGGAAAAACAACGATAAAAAAATTAGTGTTTGGTATCAGATACTGCAAAATTAAGAAGAAGTTTTATACTAAATTAATAATGAAACCCTAATCTCCCACCTAAGCTCAAAGCAAGATTCTATTGAGACATTAAATTTCATGAATTGTGCATTTGATCTTTCACATCTTGGATCTAAATTTGGAATGCCTAGTGATTAATGAAAGTATTGTGGTACAGTAAGTACAGTAGGATATTAATTGCAAAAAAATCGGGCATTAACAAAGCAGCATTAAGTTCCAAGGTTCAACAGGGAATAACCGCTTTTCATGGTTAAGGGGCCATCCGTAAATTACGCCTAGGGGGGGTCTCTGACAGCTTTATGTGCCTTACGAGGGGGGGGGGCTGAGCCCTACATAAGCTTTCCAGCCTATATTTAAAGAAAATGCAAAAACCATTTTTCGTCCGGTGGATATTAAAATTCAAGATGAAAAAGAGGAAATCAGCACATCATCAATTGCTGACCGGTCGGACAAGGCTCCTATCATTTTTCTTGATTCCCACTTGATGAGTAGTGACTCCATCCTTCTGTCAACTTTACACTTTTAACAATTCCAAAAAGAAACAAAAAACTTCAATTTTTCTTGACTTGTGTTTGTTTAAACTAATTGAAGGTATCATTAATATTTCGCATGAACTTGCTTAAAAAATCTAGGTAGTTTCACTAATAAAAATATTGGCCTAAAAATTTCACTGTTTCTCTAAAAGAAAACGTAATGTTTGGATCTGCGATAATTGAAGAAAAAAGGGGGGGGGGAGGGATTTGTCCAGTCTTGCGTATTTTTAGAAGGGGAGTTGGAAATGCCTTAAGAGGGGAGGAGGAGGGGCTAAAAAAGGAAAAAAGTGCCTTACGCAACTTATGGATAGCCCCTAAATGAGCAAGTGACATTTTCTGGTTGTATCAGTTTCTACTTTGCTTCGGAAAAACTCGTCACCCTTTGGCGTATGAGTAAAAAACAAATTGGTAACGCATCTGTGAAATATGAAGATGGGCACATAAGTAATACTTACATTCAAGCCAGGATGGATTCTAAGTTTTCTCTGCAGGAACAGCACAGAGCCAGCACGAACGTATGTGTTTGCGTAGACTTTGGGCCCTCGTCTCTTATTGATGACATGGGGATTTCCGTTTCTCGTGCAAGTGCTGGCTTTCTTCTTCTTGCCCCGAGCAATTATATCTAAAAATCATAAGCAAACCCACTGTTTTTAACAGAATTTTGATAAGATAAAAAGGTAGTTTTACGTAATTCCATATTGGATTTACTAAAAATTCTTGTTCATGTTTCACTGGACAAGGTGCGAACTTAAGCATTATGTTTTCTCTTTATCCAGGTAGAGTTCACGTCAAGTAAGTTGATAAGATCTTTGAAGTGACAACGAATTTGATTTTCTCACTTCTCCGTTGAAGCTAAATGCGACCAAGGCTACTTAAAATCCATCACATAGAAAATTTGCCAGCTTATTGGACGTACACTCTATTCGCAACAAAAACATCACGTGATTAGATGGTGCACATTTCCAGTGTAGATTATTATGTTTCCTCACATTTTATTGATCCTCGTTTTCCTCTGCTAAATTTAAATAAAGAATCGTTTCAAGGGAGGCAGAGCTTGGTGTGGTGAAGGTAAATCAGGATTATAGAGATCTATGGCTGTGGATGCATTGAACCTGAAAGACATCCGAAAAGATACAAACCTTTGGCAAATGGATGCGAAAAAAAACTTTTCGCAAAAGATGATATAGCGCTTAAACTGGGAAACATGATAACATTGGGTCACGATTTAAATTGAGAGGACTTTTCACAAATTTTATCTGGGAAAAAGAATTAATAAGTTCACGAATGTTGTTCGTGGTCTTGGGTCAGCCTCAGCGATCGTGAGGGGGAGACATAACCTCACTTTTCATTTCATCCTTGTTCCTTATCTTCATTTGCAAGGCAAGGTTGCAGAGTAAACAGAACGTAAACAAATTGCGCAAATTGGTTCAAATCGCTACATTTTCCCAGTTATTCCACTTTACGAACAGAAGGAATCTCAACCGCAAATTCTGAACCAGACGTTTTGATTGGTGTAGAGCGGTTCATTCCATTTATTCCGAGTTGAACCAAAATAAGCGGGAATTTCAAATAATTCCGGATATCCTGTTTACTAAATCGTTTCCGTTTCCGGTAAACAATGTTGACAAATTTTCGAAAATTCGTTGGGTAAAACTGACAACACTGTTTTACCGGAAACGGAAACGATTTGGCAAACAGGATATCCGGGATTTGTAAAACTGACAACACTGCTTTATTTGAAATTCCCGCTTATTTTGGTTCAACTCGGAATAAATGGAATGAACCACTCTGGACCAATCAAACCGTCTGGTTCAGATTTTGCGGTTAAGATTCCTTTTGTTCGAATAGAGGAATAAATGGAAAAATAGGTTGTAAAAATGTTGGTAAAAATTGCAGATTTGTCAGTGTTGTCTCTACTCATTTCTGATAATAACATGGTGAGAACATAAACAATTATGCCGAGTAATAATTATGCATTATCATAGCCAGTGAACGGATTTTTACATCCTCATCTCTAATTTTCTGTTACTTTGTAGTCTCTGTGTGACAAATTATTGAGCAGCTTTGCTGTAATTCTAATAATATTATCTCTATGATAGTGCTTGCAATCTCAGGGCCTCTTGTGAAGGTCCTTTCTTCTCTGTCATTTTTCCTTCTCTTTCAGACCTCAACAACATCTTAGAACTTTCAATTACTTTTTTTAATCCTGCTAGCATTCACATTCATTTGCCAAAGTTTCGAAAAAAATCCGTCGCATTGTGGAACGCCACTGCACCTATAATTTCTGTCCAGGTAAATTTAATCTTACTTCTTTTTTAAGCAAGGCGAAGGCATTTCAACGGTGTAACTCGGTTTGCAACATTGCAGACTTCCTGTCATATTTTATTTTTTTAACGGCAAACTACTCAACGGCAACTCTTTAGAACTGTTGTGATTTTTCTTCTCTGTGCGAAGAAAATTCTGCAAAAATTTCAAGGAATGATATCAATTTGTTCTCTTTTAATAAACAACACAGAGGCGGAGATTTTCAGATACTGCAAATGAGTCCTGTGTTTGCTGACTTACACCGTCGATTTACACGTCATGATACGAATGTACAAGAATTTACATTCCTTACGCAGTCATGTGAGATCATGTGTGCCGTCTCATATTTTTGAGGCACTCAAATCATTAATTTTGAATGCTAAAGACGGTAAATAAACTTGAAGTCAAGACCAATCTACACAGGTCAGTCATTGCACATCTTTTTGAAATCCACTCCCCTGCCCGGCCATAACTCGGCAGCTTGCAATGCTACGTCACATTGGGTGCTCCCTTAAGAAATACATTGCAGGCACTCGATACTACATCACTGCGCAGTAGAGTTCCAAAATTCATCCTTGGGAATGACTGACCCGTGTAGATTGGTCTTGCTTGGAGTTTACACTAAGCAATGCAAGTTAAATTTAACCTCTCTATTTTTATATTGCTAGCTTAAATAAATGAAAGACAATCTCTGCTCGCCACCATACGAATCTCTGCTGGTGTCCTATTTTTGAAAAGAAATTGAAGTAGCAGTTTCTTTAAAATTTTTCATGTATTCTATTTTTTTATTGAAAATACCATCAAAATATTTGTTGTAGATATTTGTGTTAGTTTGACAAGCTGGCAGTTGTTTACCTGTGACTGTAATGCGCAAGAGACATTTCATGAACCTGCTCACAGCAGCAGTATTGTCTGAGGTCAATCCTCAGTCAGTATAGGATGATGGCAATGCAATCACTTGCATACAATGAGTAGTTGATGTAAGCAGTCCTACCTGCTGACTTCAATATTATAGAATTATACTTGTAGAAGTGTATTTTGTTGTAATTCTTTGATTGGACACTGGGTTCCCTCCATTCAAACCTGTGATGAATGATTAATTACTTTTGGAGCATTTGGCCCCTCCGAGAACTGGTACATTACCGCAAGTTCAAGTAAAGTAAAAACAATACTGTCAAATTGCTTGTAATTTAGCAACGGCCAATATCGGTCGGCAAAATTTTCCTCCAGGAGTAACTAATGTAATTTTATTTTTCCATGCACAGCACCGATACCAGTGATTCATCATGAAATCAAATCCAATTTCGATTCCTGTGCCTTGGGGTTCCATCGAAGGTAAACATTGAATCATAATTTTTTGTAGTCTGATTTTCTCATCTAAGTTCAAGCTCTGAAACATTTTCTAACAATATTAACATTTGGTACTACTAGACACTATCAAATCTATCAGATACCTTGTAATTTTGTTAGACTTGTGTATCATATGTAGAACTGAAAATATTCATACCATAGTTTGCAATGCATGACTAATGTTAATATCACTAACTGCTGCCTTCTGAATTGTATATCGGTGCCAAAGAAACCACAATTTTCCTCAAAAAGAGCCATCAGATACTTATTTCATGTGATATTTTTGCATGAGAAGTGATGGATTTAAGGGAAATGGCCCTCATGATGCAAACTCAACAGTGAAATGACTGATTTCAGGCAAAAAAATTTGATTATCAGTTTTCCATGCTAAATGCTTTTCAGTTTTCTCAAAAACAAAGGGTCCAAATTTTGAGCCCCAAAATTACAAGCGTTTGGAAAGAATCAATTATGAAGCCGGTAACAGAGCCAACAAATTTTTGAAAATTTTTTCTTAAATTATTTCTTAAACATTTTTCTTAATTTCTGGAGTCTTCTATTTTTATATCATTCCGTAAGATCACTTATTATTTGGAATTTTGGGTTTTTTCTTTCGTCGAAGGACGCAGATTCTACCCATCTAAGCTGTAGTAAAGTTATCCTATTTTTGTTTTTTCCATCTGAAGAGCTCTTTTGCCTGATTCTATCACACATCATTTTTTGGTTCCATGAATCGCATAAAAAAACATGTAACTACAGAATATAAATGCATGTATGGTGAAAAATTGAGGAGTTGATGAAGATCTAGATTTAAATAACAGGCTTTAAACTATCAAAGTTTTGAGCTCATTAATTGAATGCTCAGTTCAATATTTTTTTAATTTTTTGTATTATTTCAAGATTTTGAAAAGTTGTACAAACTTTTATATTTTTTCCTTAAAATTTTGCAGGCAAAACATGGGGAGATATCAACAACGCTCCAGTTCTGGTTGTACATGGTCGACAAGACAATTGCGGAACATTTGATCCATTGATCCCCCAGCTACCTCAAGAATATTTTTATGTTTGTATTGACCACCCAGGTCACGGAAAATCATCTCCGTTTCCTGCAGGAACACCCTTGAAATTCTTTGATTACGTTTTGACCCTAAAAAGAGTGATAAATTATTTTAGTTGGAAGGAAGTGATATGTTTAGGTCATAGTTTTGGTGCACAAGTCAGTCTATATTTAGCAGCGTTTTACCCTGAGCTGGTGAAAAAAATAATTGCGCTGGATGGTGTATCACCAGACTGTGTAGAAACTCACCAGATCACCTCCTGGTACAGGAGGCAATTCGATAATTTCTTAAGCCAAGAAAAAAAGTTGGCCAATAAAAGCCCTCCATCTTATTCTTATTCAGAGGCTGCACATAGAGTAAAAAATAACCGATGGATGTCCCAATTGACTGATGAAGCTTGCAATATTCTTATTGAGAGGTCCCTAGTTCCCAATGAAAATGGTTATTATTTTAGTACCGATCAACGATTCAAAATTGGAGTCTTGCCAGGACTCACCAGTGACCAGCAGATTTCTGTTTTTAAACAAATCCGGTGTCCAATTATAATGATTGTAGCAGATGAGACTGCAAGTAAGTTTTGGTCAAAAGATTCCAATATTAAGAACGTATATAATTATTTTAAATTTGAAGCATTAAATGCTTCTGTAATAATTGTGAGTGGTAACCATGATGTGCATTTGAACCATCCCGAAAGGGTTTTGCCGTACGTAAAATCGTTTTTGTCCAATGCGCGGAGCAAACTGTAAAGACAGACTTTCGCTACCCTGTTCATATAACTTAATTAAGCCTTCCAAAAATTCTAATGTAAATAGCATTTTCCAATAAAATAAGGTCAATGCTTATACCTAGCGCTTGTTAGTTTATACTTTAACTTCAATTTCAAAGTCTGAGAAGTTGACATGGGAAATTGGAGAAAAATTGATTTAAAAGTGAGAAAATGTGCCGCCTTGTGACGTCATCTGGCGGCATTTCCCATTTAAACACATGTATTTTAGCAGAATCGGTTATTTTGTCATATCTCCTCTAATAATTGCTCAATTTATGAATCAAGGGTATCTTCGTGTTCAGTTCACTCAGAGGATTCCACTTAAACAGGAAATTCATCAAATTTCAGACTCTTGCAAATTCTCCATTATATTCTTCATTTTTGGGAATATTTTTATGGGAACAGTAGGCTCCTCTCTTTTGTAGTATGTACTCTTAAGTTGCCTCTTGTGATAATTACAAAAGAAGTTGAGATCCAATCGGTGGCTGTCTGATTGATGAATGATGCTTGCACTTTTTTACTCCTTGTTAATTGAATTGGGATGTGTGAAAACCGCTAATGTCCACTTTTCCAGTCTTAAATTTTTTTGAGTTCTACCAATCACACACACTCTGACATGGCACTCAATGATCAAGACACTCTGCCAATAATCTGACATTGCTCATCATCAATTGGACAACATTTTGCAATTTGGAACTAAAATTTCAGGCTTAGTTCAGAAACGATGTGTGTACCATTACTTTCCCTACGCTCATGAGTGTTTTTACCAATGAGCCAGAAATTGTAGCTCCTAATTGCAAAATGTAGTCTAATTATATGTAATTTTAGCTAAACTTCGAAACCATGCATCTTCTTTTGCGACATTGCAGACTTCTAGTCATACTTTCGTCTTTTTTTGGAGCATTGATCAATGTAATTTCTTGAAAACTTTGTTGACTTTTCTTCTCTTTAAGCAGAATTTTCTAGATAATCAAGCTATGAAGTTGACTCGTTCCTCTTTGAAAAAATAAATTTGGAGCAGAAACTTTGAGACACCACAATGGAGGCACATCGTTTTCCATTTTGGTCATCTACATGATATTTTAAGACATTTGTATGATCTCACTTTCAATGTTTTAAGTGTAAATATTTCATTTTGGACTGAAGTCTGACTGACCAAACATTTTCCTCCTTGACAATAACACAGATTTTCATTTGAATCACTAGTAACGAAATTTGGATCATCAGGGTAGTTCTTTGAATTTAAATTTTAGATAGTTAGACGAATTCAGTCCTAGGTGTTGGAAGTTTTCATTAACGTTTTGTAGGAAAGCTACAAATATTACATAGGTTTATGAAAAAAAACGCAAAAAATCATGGTGCAGGTAATTTTTGTTGAACCTTATAATTTAGGTTCGCCAAAATAAGTAAAATACTGAATTAATTTTTTATTCTTAGTCCATTGCTTATTTTTGTCAGTCACATCCGATATAATGGTTTTTAATTTTTTTCTCTCATTTCCCCCAAAAGAAAAGAACGAAGCGAAGAAAAAATATGAAGGTGAGAGGAGAGCTAATACCTGCTCCAAAATCAGTTGTTTCTTATCAGTATTAAATAACTTTTACGGCCTCATATTGTGCTACTTCAAATGGGGAAAAGAACTTTAGTTCCTTAGTCAACTAAGTTGAGTAAAAAAGTCCGTTTTTGAGTATTGTACGTAGAACACTTTTCGGCACCTCTAAAAACAAGCTGTTGATCTAGTTCATTTTTATGTTGCACTTAAAGAAGCTTAAGGTATATTTTGTGCCATAGATGAGTCCGATTCTGAGAGACAATAACATTAAATATTTTCTTCAATTCTTCGTTCATGAAATCTTGTATTTTTAGCTGTAAACATTAAACCAACACAACTTGTTTTAAAATTTTGGGGCATTTTCTGCTCCAGAAAGCTTGAACCAGAGATTACAGCAGAAAGGTTAGTCCCCTCCATGCATGTGCACCAATCACTCATTTTGAGTTTTTGATACTTCTTTTTTTTGCGGTGAAGGATTATGTAACTTTGGCCAAAGTAAAAAATATGTTTCTCCAACTGGAGCATTGCAAATCACTGCTCATGTAATAAGTAGGAAAATTAAACTCGGAGCATTTTTGGAAATCATCCTTGAATTTTTCATAAGACACATAGGAATATTCACAGAAAATTTCAAGCAGGTATTTTGGTTCGTATTCTTTTAAATAAATACAATCTCATCAGAAATTTTCAAACTTTGCACCAGAAATACATTTTTTTTACTTCAGCCAGCTGTTGATATGTTAAAATAACTCAATCATCTGCAAAATATTGTGAAAAAACGCCCAGACGGCTTGCTCAATGTAAAGGAAATAGAAACTCGATTACCTTAATTTTTAAGTAGATAATTAACTTAATGTAAGGAAATGATGAAATTAAGTTTTTTTTACTTTCTGTTTTCCTACTTTTTTATACTCTCTCCATTTTGTACTCAAATTTTTTATATTTGTTAATTATATGTTCTGTTTGGTTACAAATTTTGTCTCTTTACTATTTTAAATTGTTTTATTATTTTTTATTGCAACAAGATATTGTTATAAAGTCAGCTTAGCTCTGTGCCAGTTCTACATTTCCAACAAATCTCTTGAAGTATCGTACTTACTGAAAATACAAGTGCATTTTCAATCATAAAGTCTTTACCCATTCATCAAAGTAATATTGTAGCAATGTTGCAATGATGTACATCTTAGTTACAGTAATGCCAGGCAATACTTTAGCAACATTGCTATTTCATTTTTGACATAATACTTCAAAAATATTGCTCATCACTTTCTATGCACAGAAGCTGAAATTATAACTGTATGTACATTGGCAATTTTTTATCAAGCAATATTGTCAGCAATGTTCGTGCAATGATGGCAATATTGAAAAATTAATTATCACTGTCATTGCCAAAATATAACTCCTGTACGTTGTTACCTATCTCAATTAAAACAACTCTTCTTGCAAATATTGCCAGAACCTTTGCGATAACATCGCAATTGACAGCAAAAATAATGTGTCACTTTATTGCGCAACAGTGATTATCTCCTCTTGCAAGGCAGACAGATTTTTTTGTAACATCCACCATATACTTTTGTAGTTTTTAAAACCCCTTGATTTCTATGAATCGGTTTTAAGCAATTTCAGTGTGATCAAAAAAATAGATTCCGAATCTTCTGTTCTTGAAAAAGAAAACAGGAACACCAAAGAAAGAATAACGTCCAGGCCCCATTCTTCTTTATGTGATTAAGCATAACCACAATGGAATAATTTAAGTATGTGCAAACATGCATTTATTAACTTATGGCTATAAGTTAATAAACGCATTTCATAACAACTTGGCATTGTGTTTTTACAAACAAATCCCTACACTCTTTATTTGTGTTACCATGATTTTCATCACCATGTTCACCAAGTGCTTATACCTGGTCACATATCGATGTAAGTACCTTCAACGAGACCACACCAACCATGATTCACAGCAGTAGGACAATTTTCTGGGGGTGGTCAGACTCCCACCTTGCCAAGAATGGTACAAAGAGGTGTTTTTTTTTTTTGGGGGGGGGGGTCGCCTTCCTTGAAAATTTTTGAAAGTTGACTTTTCCTACAATAAGGCATTTTGAGGTTTCTCTCATGTAAAAGTAGGTTGCATGCATAGGTAAGGTTCAAATCTTCCAACAACCTTTGGAAAATATTTCAAATTTTTTCCGTTTTGCATGAATACTGAAGTGAGCAGATTACCGGTTCTGAGCTTTTATCCTTCATAGAGCAGGCTTTCTAGGGAGGCCGATTGGATACTATTTCAGATTCTAAGGAGGGAGGGGGGACCCACCCCGGCCCAGGAAGAGCTACCGTTATATCAGGATGTTGGGTTGTTTGCCCATCATGTTGTATCTTATCGATTGTAATTTCGTAGAATTCGGAGATCAGAAGTTAGGCATCCAATTAATTATTAAATTATCGCAAAAAATGATTTAATTATTTTTTAAAATTATTTCTTGAATCTTTGAAAATTGTAAGGAATTTGCCTCGTACCAGGGAGAAAATTCACTGAAATTTGCACGAAAATCCGCAAAACCGTTTTCATGTAAAAAATTAAATCGCCCAATTAAGTTTAACAATAGCTGATGCGGCTTGGTTCCTTTCTGTTTAACGCGGTCCATTTTAGCCAACCCCAAACCGAGTGTTTGATTCATTTTTCGAAAACATGCTTCACTTGTCCGACTAGGGCGCGGGGGGCAACCCGATTAATTTCATAAAGCCCGCCAATTCACCAGGTACAGTCACCAATCAATGAAAAGTCCAGATTTTTATGATGTTTTTCAATACCGACTTGTGATTGGTTATAAAGTTTGAGCCTCGCTCGTTTGTTTATAACCTCACTTTTTTTTATCACTAATTCTTATCTCAAGGAATTCCTCAGATCTCTGTGTTAAAAAAGTTTATAAAAATTAATCGTAGCCTCACTGTGACCTCCTCAAAAGCACTCATGTAACATTCAGTATGTTTTGCAATCGTTTCTCTCCCGCTTACTCTCCCATAATTCTCTGTGTGCAGGTTTATTTGTAGTGGTTCAAATATCTGTCTTTGGAACCCTTTATTGGAAGACAAAGTTTTGAAACTTTGTAACATTGTAGAACACGTTTGGGCTCTTACCCTCCAGTTAAGTGAAACGTAGTCTCTTTTTAAAAACTTTAAAAATCCACAAGTTATGTTGAGTCGTTTCAGGATTTCGAATTCTTTTGCCAGTCGTATGAGACAATGTTCATTGCTGCCTGTCTACAAGGAACACAATTTTTACATGGAAGGCAAGGTAATGACTTTTAAATTCACACCATCATTGCTCTACTCATCTTCATTTTTTCAAAACACGAAGAACGTAAACTAAATTTAAAATTTTTGAATTCCATTTACCTATTCAACTAGAGCTCGCGCATCGTATACTGAGACTAACATCAATCTCTGATTTGCTCTGAATTAGCACCGCTCTACAGGTTAAAACATGCCATCAGATGGCACCACTGGTGAGTGATGATATAACGACGGTGCAAGTCGGCAATCACATAACTCGGTTTGCGATGTCGCAGACTTCCTGTCATACTTTATTTTTTAAATGGAAAAGTACTCAACAGCAATTCTTTTAAACTGTCATGATTTTTCTTCTCAATGCGAAGAAAATTCTGCAAAAACTTCAAGAAAAAATGTCAATTTGCTCTCCTTCAAAAAAATGATGTTGAGGTGGAGATTTTCAGACACCGCAAACGAGTTATGTGATCGCCGACTTTCACCGTCGATAAGCAATTTTGAAGTTTGTCTCAACATACGATACGCAAGCTGCAAGCTGCAACTAAATACATAGAACTTGTATGAATGTTTTTGTAACCTTGTTTAAAACGCACAACCAGGGAAGATGAAAGATAAGAATATGTTTCATTCTGATCTAATCACTTGTTTTTGGAGCCATTTGAACAGCAGCCCGATTATTGAAACTATGTTGGTACGACAAGACAAGACCTAGCCCTATCTTAATCATTCAACATATTGCATTTCGATGGCTCATCCGGCTGCTTTAAACTTTCAATAAACAACACGAAGGGAACATTATTCACAGTTGCCCTGCAAGTACAATCTCTTAGGAACTGTAAAAAATTTGTATGATACAATTTAAAATTTTGCTCGAAACGCACCGGCAGTAGAAAGTTAGATTGCACTGATTATTTGTGCGAGAAAAGTGTGCTGTATTTTGAATCCCATTCTTCTGTTACAGGTTCTCATACCAATAATTCGCTCCATGACATCTAGTCCAATTTCGATTCCTGTGCCTTGGGGCTGTGTCGAAGGTATTCTAAATCATTATCTCAGCTATAATATTCCATTGTCAAGTACTTTGAATCACTAAAATCTGACTGATGAACAGCAAAGTGACGAGGACGTAAAATAAAACTTTCTAGAAATTCTCATCTCCTGGAATTGCAAACCCTGAGTGCTCGCTGCAGTGTTTTGATACTGACAGTGAAAACTCTGTGACATGCACGTTTAAGTAATACTATAATTGAATTTTTTGTAGGTAATGTGGAAGCCTGCCATTTTATTTGAATGTTTGAAATATATCGATGGTGAAACTGTAGAAATGTGTATCTCGGTTTGGGGCGTTGCAGACTTCCTGTCGTACACTATTTTCTACATGGAAAACTACTGAACATAATTTTTTAATAATTTCAGCGATTTTTCTCCTCTTTTTTAAGAATTATCAGTGAAAACTTGAAGCTGTAATGTTGGTTGCGGTCTCCTTTTGAAAAATAAAATAGGAGCGGAAATTTCAAAACACTGCAATGGAGATACGCATTTTTGCAGTTTCACTGTGGATATGGAATGTTTCCAACTCAGGTGCGTAATCACAATTCTTTTGTGAAAATTTTTCAGGTAAAACATGGGGAAATAACCACAATGCTCCAGTTCTGGCTGTGCACGGTCGACAAGACAATTGTGGAACATTCGATCGATTGATCCCTATGCTGCCTCAAGAGTACTTATACGTCTGTATCGACCTTCCTGGTCACGGGAAATCGTCTCCTTTTCCGTCAGGGACAACTCTGAAGTTCTTTGACTATGTTTTAACCATGAAAAGAGTGGTGGAATACTTTAATTGGAAGGAATTTACATGTCTGGGCCACAGTTTTGGGGCCGATCTCAGTCTATATCTTGGAGCAATCTACCCAGAACTGGTGAAAAATATAATAGCTTTAGAAACAGGACCAGATATCGTAGAAACTCACCAGCTTCCTCAGTGGTATCGGGGGCAATGCGATCAATTATTAAGCCTAGAGAAGAAACTAGCCAACAGGAGTCCCCCATCTTATTCTCATGCTGAGGCAGCACAGCGAATGAAAAAAAATCGTTGGTTTTCAGAGTTGACGGATGAAGCTTGCAATATTTTACTGAAAAGATCTCTTGTTTCCAATAACAATGGCTTTTACTTCAGCACTGATCAACGGTTCAAAATTGGTGTCGGACCTGAACCTGTGTTGACTTGCGAGCAGCAAATTTCAGTATTTAAACAAGTTAAATGTCCGACTTTAATTGTAATGGCTGATAATACTGTGAAGGAGTACTGGGAAAAAAACAAGGCTGCTAAACCTATGTACGATTATTTTAAGACGGAAGCGGTAAATACCAAGGTGGTAATAGTGAATGGCAACCATGATGTCCATTTGAATCATCCTGAAAGAGTTTTTTCATTTGTTAGTTCATTTTTGTCAGATGCTCGAAGCAAACTTTGAAGACCTGAATCCACCAGTCTTTTCACACAGTTCAAATGCTACATTTAAAAATTCTATTTAGGGGGAATTTTTGATTAAAAAGCTTTACTGCTACTGCTTATTGATTATTAGTTAGACGCAAGTCCAAGTCTTAGAATATTTACCCAGAAATGAAAAGGAAAAGGTGTGGATTCCCCCTCCTTAATTCAATTGTAATTGGCTCAAGTATGACTTGACAGAAAAATCGAAATTTATACTCATTCACTGTTTGAGCCTTCGGCACTGCAGATGACATGAGGTGGCAAGTTTAAACCTGTTGAGGATGTATTCACCAATCTTTATTGCAGAAACCGAGATCAGAACCATCTAAAATAAACTTTACTTATTAGTGCGGACCTCCAACACGCGCCCGCAAATTTAAAAGGCGCGCCTGCTCTCGCGTTAAAGTCAACAACCAATGAGAAGTTCATATTTTTAGGCGCCTTTTAACATTAACCTCTGATTGGCTACAATCGGTTTGTTTTGATCGCAAATAACCTCACTTCCTCTTATCACAATTCAGTATTCAATCACATATTCACAGCGATTTCCGATTTTACATTTTCAACAGGAATTATTTAGCTAGCCTCGTATTAATTTTTAATTGTATTGGAATGATTTATCGAAACCCGTTAATTATTTCTTGTGGAATCAATGTCTCTCCAATCTCTGTGTAAAGATTAAATGATAACCACCATGTGATTCAGTGATCCTTGACACTGAGAAACTTCAAGGTTTTCTGTTGAAATCCTTATACATATTTTATCAGTAATTCTTCCGCCTTTTTTAATTGTGTAGGTTCATTAATAAATCTTATGACTCAAATAATCCTTTCAGTTTTTTACTTGGTCTGCCAATGCGCCATAGGTACTCACAATCAGTATAGGTAGTAGTCTGTAGTATTGTGAAACGCATCTGTAATTTTCGTTTTTATCTAGGTAGATTTTGGTTTTGATGTTTAATTGTGACAAACCATTAAGTTATGTTGAGCAGATACAGAAAGTTAAACTTTCTCACCCATCATATGAGGCACTATTCAATATCCAACAACTTGAAGGAGCACAAGTTTCTCACGAATAATAAGGTAACTGAATTTTAAGTTCTTAGTTTTGGTTCTCTTACCCCTAGGTTTTTAGCGCTCCTAAAGTCATTACCTGGTGTAAGGAGGAGTGGTGTTAGGAGCCTTTCCTAGCTAGACCCAGATTTTCCTAAACTTTTCATCCTCTCAAAATACTAAGTAGTCCCAGGTAGACTCAATGCCAAATATTTGAATAAGCAGAGCCCACATAAAAGCATATTTGTGCCTCAAACCTAGAAAGCCGGAGTGGAGAAGTAATTATTTTTGACAACTTTCTTGATTAGGTATCATCATATTTTCCGGAGATAATTTTTAGTTGTCTTTTCCGTTTCCATCTCTGGCCTGCAACGACCTTTCAAAATATTCTTCAAACTCTTATAAAAACTGTTGATATTTTCACACTCGGAAACCCTTTTGGTTATTTTTTCATGTAAAATTTACAAAAAATAAAATTTAAGGAAACAAGTGATAAAAAACTCTAAAAATATTACTGTTGGTTTTTAACATTTTTAGTGTTGAAAAACTACAGTTGATATTTTTATAGTTTTTTAACACTTTTTAAATTGAGTTTTACCGCTCATAAATTTTACTTTAAAAATGGCCAAAAAAGATTTGGTTGCAAGAGAATTTTAAGTGTTTTAAAGAGTTGTCTTTTTGAAATTCAAGAGTTTTTTTTTAGTTACCAGGTTAGTCTCTAATGAATTTTAAGAGGCGCTATAGTACGGTCCACCATTACCATTTTCCAACATCCAAAATGTGGGCAAAACAGGACTTATCCGGTTCCATTGCAGAAAGTTTGGCCCATTGTGGTTCGGGCACTTGGCCAAATATTTAAGAAAGTTAGTATGTCTTTGCTGGATTAAAGCCTTACATGCCTGGGGTAGCCTTGTTGTGTCCATTGATTATTTGGGCAGATCTGAAAATAAATGAGATCAAACTAGATATTTTAACTTCATTCTTTTTTTACAGGCACCAGTACCAGTATTTCGCTTCATAACATCCAGCTCAATCTCGATTCCTGTACCTTGGGGCTCTGTCGAAGGTATGCAGAAACATAATTTTTCCTCTAGAATCAAATCTCAAATATTAAATGGACTAATAAACTGTAAAATACCAGGCTACAAAGCAAAACTATTCACAATGGTGCAAGATTAGGTAACTTACATTTTGTTTACTGCGTTGCTCACTGTAACAAGTATTTAGATGAATGAAGGTAACGTACATCCAGAGTGGGCAAAGAAATGATCCCTTCATATAACTTATTTGAAGCTCTTGATTAAGGTGGTTGAAATTTAAATTATATCCATCTTGCCTCGAAATGTTTTTAATTCAAGCGTACAATCACAATTATTTCATAAAAATTTTGCAGGTAAAACATGGGGAAAAAGTGACAATGCTCCAGTTTTAGTTGCACATGGCCGTCACGACAATTGTGGAACATTCGATCCGCTGATCCCCATGCTGCCTTAAGAATATTTTTATATCTGTTTTGACCTCCCTGGTCATGGAAAATCGTCCCCATTTCCGGCAGGGACACCTCTGAAGTTTTTTGACTACGTTTTAACCATGAAAAGAGTAGTGGACTATTTTAGTTTGAAAGAAGTTACATGTCTGGGTCATAGTTTAGGGGCCTACGCCAGCTTTTACCTTGCAGCAATCTACCCAGAACTGGTGAAAAAGTTAATAGGTCTAGAAATTGTTACATTAGGTAGTGTAGAAACCCATCAAATTGCTTCTTGGTATCGAGAGAAGTTTGATCAGTTATTGAACATTGAAAAGAAACTAGAGAACCAAAGTCCTCCATCTTACTCTTACACTGAGGCAGCTTGTCGGATGAAGTACAATCGATGGAACTCTGAGTTAACAGATGAAGCTTGCAGTATTTTACTTAAGAGGTCTCTCATTTCCAAAGATAGCGGCTTTTATTTTAGTACCGATCAACGGTGCAAAATGAATGACTGGCCAGTATTGAACTGTGATCAGCAAATTTCAGTATTCAAACAGATTAAGTGTCCGATTTTACTCGTACTGGCTGATAATACTGAGAGAAATTCTTGGGCGAAAAACCCTATTTTCCAACCTGTTTACAATTATTTTAAAACTGAAGCGCTGAATACATCTGTGATAGTAGTAAGCGGTAACCATGATGTTCATTTGAATCACCCTGAAAGAGTATCACCATATGTTAGGTCATTCTTGTCAAATACCTGAAGAAAACTTTGTTAACCCACTTTTGCCATTTCCTTCTGGTGGTTACACTAAAATTTTGTTTGTACATAAAAAATTGAGACCTTTTTTTTCATCTTGGTTCCAAAAACATAGGAATCAATGTATTTAGTGTGAGCCAAGAAATGGCCCTCTCTAATGACTCCTTCAAAGCTCACGATTTAGGTGGTTGCGATTCAAAATATTTTCATCTTGTGTAGGAATGTTCTTAACTCAAGTGTAAAATCACAATTGTTTCATGAAACTTTTGCAGGTAAAACGTGGGGAAATAACAGTAACGCTCCAGTTTTAGTTGTACATGGCCGACTTGACAACTGCGGAACATTCGATCCGTTGATCCCTTTGCTACCACAAGAATACTTCTATGTGTGTATCGATTTCCCTGGTCATGGGAAGTCATCGCCATTTCCCGTAGGAACACCTTTGAAATTCTTCGACTTCGTTTTAACAATGAAAAGAGTGGTCGACTACTTTAATTGGAAGGAAGTAACATGTCTAGGTCATAGTTTTGGGGTGCAGACCAGTCTTTACCTTGCAGCAATTTATCCTGAATTGGTGACAAAAATAATAGCTTTGGAAATAGGGCTAGGTGGTGTAGAGACGAGTCAGCTTACCCTTCGGTATCGGGAGAGATTTGATCAGTTATTAAGCCTAGAGAAGAAACTTGCCAACAGGAGTCCTCCGTCTTATTCTTATGCAGAGGCAGCTAATCGAGTGAAGAAAAATAGATGGATGTCCGAGTTAACGGATGAAGCTTGTAGTGTATTAATAAAGAGGTCTCTTGTTCCCAATGGTAATGGTTTTTATTTCAGCACCGATCAGCGGTTTAGACTTGGTGTGGGGCCAGATTTGACCGGTGAACAGCAGATTTCAATATTCAAGCAAGTCAAGTGTCCAGTTTTACTTATCCTGGGTGATATAACTGAGAGAGAGTTTTGGGCGAAAGCCGATATTGTTAAAGAGATTTACAATTATTTTAAAACTGAAGCACTAAATATATCGATGGTAACAGTGAGTGGTAACCATGATGTCCATTTGAACCACCCTGAAAGGGTTTCGCCTCATATTAGGTCATTTTTGTTAAGTAATCCCAGCATTCGTTGATCCAGAATATTTTCCATTGTACTTTTCTAGTGCAAGATTAATGAAAACTTAGTCTGTTGGTAACGCTGCAAGGTGTACTAACTACTGTGGATTAAGAAAGTTTGAGCAAAATTTTCTTTTAAACCCATTTACATCTTTTTCAAAACTGGAGCATTGGAGTGGCAATCGAGGTGTTCATTTCCATCACTCTGAAAGGGTCTCATAATATTTAAGGTTGTTTAAGTCTGACGACCAGAACAAGCTGTGAACATGAGCGTGACCATTAATTTTAAACAAATTCGGAAATGCATTGTATCAGAAATGTTGTTTGCTAAAGCTTAGTCGTTTTCAAATATGTATCATGGAAATTTGCCTTGGCATGGTAATAAATACTATGTAAGCAAGTTTGGGCAATATGCTAACCAATATTTGAATATAACAAAATTGAAGCGTTAATCATAATGTTCATTTGAACCACCCTCAAAGGGTTTGCTGTATAGTAGTAAGATTATTTCTGGTCACTGACCAGACCAAACCCGTTGATAACTCAAACATTTTTAGGAGTACATTCCACTGAAAATTTTGCTTGTTAAGGACAGTTGCTTTCACATAATAATGAAAATCTAACAGTTAAGGTATCTACATGCGTGTGTTACATGCAGAATCAAGAATGAACATAGAAAACGAGCAGTGTTTCTTTTTTTTTTTTTTTTTTTTTTTTTTTTTTTTTTTTGAGAATACAGGATGGATTCATTGTAACGGAGAATGTAAAAAGATACCGGCAACTTACCACCTTAAGTTAACGAACAAGATTTTTCGATAAATGTCAATCATAGTAGTCCTTTCCAATCAATCTTCTATTGTACAGTTTTTTAGACTTTAGGCAGATTGATTTAAGTCATTTCAACTCAGATTTTTCAGTTTGAATCATTTTTACTTCTAAGTCAATTGTTTGCCTGTTCTAAACAGGCTGGTTCAGGCGCGTGCTGCGAAGAGTATAGAGGCAAGAACAATACACAACAAGGGTTTTTCCATGTCAGTATTACATTACTGAAGTATCTAGATTAGCTTTAAGATATTATGATAGATTTTTTTCGCTCCAAGTGAATGATGATTTGTAAAAAATTTTCCGAATGTAATGTAATGAAATGATTAGGCTGTTTTCAAGTGTCCTTCGTTTTCATAATTTTTTATGAAATATATTTTTTTACTTGTTGATTACAACCTCTTTTTCTACTTTTTTGTTGGTTTACTGATAGTCATGTATGATTTGCCCAATCATTCAGATCTCCAACACTGCAACATCATTGAAAAACCACACATTACTGTAAAATCCACAAAATTAACTGAAAGAATTTTAGTAGTGTGCTTTGACATCTGACATTTTCCGTAACAAAGACATGATAAGCACTTTCAAACAACTCCATACTTCCCTTTAAAATATGGTTGAACAGTGGCAGCTTGAGCATTAATTAAAAATCTTGACTGAGGGCTAATGTTCAAAATTATTAGATTCATGGATACTAATTAGCTCCTGCAAGATTGTTACAAAGAAGTTGTTACTGAAAGAGTTAATTTCAAAGAATTCACTCATCGGTCAGATGGGTCATCAGAACATATCAATGTAAGTGAAGCAGAGGATCTAAGAGGGTGGAGCTTGTTCCATTAATTAATTTACAGTTTTGATAATTTCTGAAATGGTCCTTCTATTGATCTACAAATATCAGTCATTAGCCCCAAAGAAAATTTTAATATCATTTTTCGAATTATTGTGCACTTTAACTGGATATAGTTTTTTCTTCAGCCTTGGAAGCAAAGAAGGCATCTATTTAAAATAGATAATATGAATCAAATGCTGTTCATGTCGACGGTGAAACTTCCCAACCCTGTGACTTGGTTCGCCATGTTTCAGACCTCTTGTCATACTTTACTTGCATTCCTTAAGTAAAAGACTACTCAACGTCAATGCTTAAAAACTTCTGGGATTTCTCTCCTCTGTGCGAAGAAAGTTCTGTGAAAACTTACAGGAGTAATGTTGATCTGTTCTCCTTAAAACAAATAAAATGGTGGCATAGATTCTTTGACACCACAAACAAGATATGTAGATGGGGAGTTTTACCGTCGATATGCATTGCAGCTAAATTTCAGCTGGGTGCGCAAACATGACAGGCTGAAAATAGGGCCAAGAAAGAGAAAATATACCTAAAACATGGGTAAAACAGGGCAGAATGTTTAGTAAACACTGAAAGGCAGGACGGTCCAAATCATTACTGACTCAGTCCCAGCTGCAAAAAAGGAAAAAATAAAAAATGATAAAAATTGAGAGGCGACCTGACACCCTTTACTTAGCGGGTGCATAGCAAGCTTGTTTGGGTTTATCAGACATGGAAGAGGAAGAATAAGAAGAAGGTTACCTAATAGCAATTAGAGTTAGGTAGCCTCTGAATTTTTTTTAATAGTTGAAAATGAGCATGCTGCAGCTAAACATATAATACCCTTTAGCGTTTATTTAAATTTAAAGCCATGTCTTGATGATGTTTTTCTCTTTAATTATAGCAAATTTTGAGAAATGGAGGAATGGGATCAAAGAGAAAATTCCTTTTTTAAGAAAAAAAAAACTGGTTTTATTTTTAAATAAATTATACAAACTACAATAATACCTGTTCCAATACTTTTGGAAACCAATAAAGGGTGACTTGAGAGAGAAAAGTGTAACAAGTTAAATATTAATACTTGGAGGCCTTAAGTAAGTGTAAAAGAAGGGGGATCCCCTCTCAAAATCTACTAAAAAAACAAAGTCAATCAATTGTAAGAAGGCACTCAAAAGTTGTACCAAATCGAAGCATTGAGAGGCAGGGGTTCGAATAGAAAAGGCAGTCTGTGTTATTAACACTATGTACAAACAGTAATACAGCATTATTGAACAGGCTCTGGACTAGGAATTGCGAGTGTGAGATTGAATTAATCTAAATTTACAACTGTGGCAAGTTGGATGGAAAGAGAGAACCTTCTTTTGACGTTCTAACATATTCTGCAGAAGGACATGGTAAAAAATCAAAGCCTTGCTCAATAATTTGTGATACAGTAATCTGTAGAAAATCTGTAAAAAATTACTAATTCTTGCAAAAAAAATATTGAATTAAGAACTTTCTCACGACTTGCGATACCCTAGTCCACCAAAAGAAAAAAATAAAAAATTCAGAGCATACAAGAACAGCGGTCTTCTCATGCTCCTCAAATTAACCAAAAAAATAACAATACACATAGATTGATGCCCTACGCTTGGTAGATGTGTCTTTACTGTACTTCATTGAGTCACTCCAGAGGCACTTGGAGGGTAAGAATATCTACCACACAATTAAGGGGCAAAACTTAAGGATTCAGCCACTCTTCGATGTGTTTTGATTATTAGGATATTTCATGATTACTTCTTGCGTAAGCTTTATTTAAAACAACTTGGCCAACAGAATGGAATAACAGAAATCAATAATGTAAAAGCTGAAAACCCGAATAAGTTTGATGGAGTTTTCTAGATACATATTATTAAGTTGTATTGATTCTGCAATAGAGAATTGCTCGCAGTCTTGTCAATTTCAACTGGCCTAAATAATTAAGAGATTTAGATTTGGTCGAGAAGTACTAAAAATGCAAAAGACATGATTAAAAATAATGTAGGAAACTCATATGAAGGCAGCTGGTTCATGCGTTGAAAAATGAAGGGAGAAAATTCAACCTAACTGCTTCATGAGGTTCTGCTCTTGACCGATTTCTCATGGAATAAAATTTAGTTTCACGATTAAAACGCTGGCTGTAAAATAATACATCATACTAACTACAGAGATACATACTGATAATACTAGTGATAATATAAATAACGACAATGATTTCATTATGCACCATAAAATTTACACAAGAATAATAACTGATAATAAATTTATAAAAGTACGAAAATAAAAATAAATTTACAAAAGACAGCTAATCTTAATAAAAATTAACCAATGTGTTTGGAATCAGCAGGCTGATTATTAAAATTTACAAACAAAGGAATAGACAAAGGGAAAATAGAGCAATTCTGTCGGTGAAACGAGTAGTTGTTGCAGACTAAGGGGGAAAATGATTGACTACTTATAGCGTCTCTCATGGGTTGTTGTCAGTTAGTCTAATAATTACTTATTTTGCCCATTGTAACCATTCGCTTCGACCAACAGGATCGCTTCATTTTCTCTCTATCTTGTTTGTTTGCCGCCTTGTCTATTGATTTCAACAGTCAGCCTGCAGAGTGAGAAACAATCATTCATGTACAATGACATCGAAGAAATTGTGAGGGTGAAACAGAGCAAGTAAAACATATTCAAAATTTAAAGGCATCAAATAATCCTAGTTAAAATTGGTGTTTAATAAAATTCCATCACAGAAAATTAACGATAAATACAAAAAATTGGTTGTAATGAGAAAGAAAACTAAGAGGGGTGAAAAAATGGTTTCTACATAGCAGATAATTTTCCGCTTTTATAAGAATTAGGAATTTCAAGCACTAGGTTTTGATTTGATGATAATCTAGGCCACATAAAAGGAAGAAGAGAGGGGATTGAATCGAATCCTGAATGAGACGTAAAACTAATAATACTCCATTCAGAACTTAATTAATAAAATTGAACTTGGATTGCTGGTCGCTAATTTTATATAAAGGATCAATAGAATCTCGTTAAAAATTTTACAGTTAAGATGTTGGAAAATACTTCTATAGTTGTAGCCACTATGCCTGCATTTACATGCTTAAACCATGTTTTACTAAAATACAAAAAATCAAGTAAAATTAATAATTAAACTCTCACTGCTGTAAGAAATTTTGGAGTTTGACCCTTTCTCACTATTTAGCTCCGTGGGTTTCTTTTGACCACTATTTAAACCTCCATTCTTGCATTACTTGTTCTTTTGATCTCTCATTTTACAATAAAATCATACTCATTATTAGGCCATGTTGAATTTATGATTGAAATAAATTGAGTGGAAAATGATCAGTATGCAAGACCCAAGGGTTAAAAGACCAACTCAGGAAAACATGAGTAATTAGAGGTGGAAGAATGATAACATAAAGTCATTTAATTATGAAAAATAGAAATTAGAGACCATGGACGGATGCTTAGAGGATTTTCTTTAGGCTGAAAAAATAACAAATGCAACGATGAATGATGAAACGTGTAGAGCCATGAATTAATGTAAACAATTATTTACAGTTGGTTGGATGGATTCCAACAAAATTCTAACAACAGTTACTGCATTGCGCTGATGCCAGAAATTTTGTGTCATGCTCATTGGCCATTGAGAGGAAATTAAATTATGGTCACTTCAAAAGAAATGAGACTTGGAACACAATGAAATCTTGCTAGTCTAATTGTCTAAACACGGAGAGTGATTTTGACTTAGGCAAGAATTTGCCTTGGTTGCTGTGCTATTTAATACAAAATAAGGAAAATTATGAGCTAAGCAGCAACTTTTACATCAGCAGGATTCCCGATAGAGCTCCTATAAATACGGCAACAAGTGCAAGGTAAACAATTTAAGGGTCAGGTTTTTGTCTTGACATACTCAAACTTAGCAAGGTTTTACTGAGATAGTTTTTGACAATAGTAAAATAGACTAACTCTTTTTGTGAGCAGGTCACCTCTTGTTCTATTTTTTTATTTGATAGATAACAGCTATTGAAGAGAGTAAAATTAAACGTCCTCTTGGAAGTCCTGAGAAATTAACAAGGTGGGCTAAATTGTTCCCGATTGGGGTAATTACTGCAGAAATTCGTGAGAGAAGAACAGCTAAAGGGTTTGTGACACATGAGTTGTTTAGACAGAGCATTTGGAATTTTACCACGGAATTTCGGGAAAAAGAGAATTACCCAACGCAAAATGATGAAAAAATTCTTGGCTTAAATACAGGGTGATGAAATATTTCCGCATCGTAAAATGAGCTAACATTGCAGGGAGACTGTATGGAAAGGAAAATTGAAAGATTTAGAGGGTTGAAGTAAGCTGATAGTTGGGCAAAACCTTCCATAATCCTCTCTGAACGATTGGATGTAGAGTAAAACTTAGGGGTCTCAAGGAGGACTTAGAGCATTTGAGTTATACAGTTACAAGAGGGTATATATAAATTTGAAAACGTCAAGAGAAGAAAAACACTTGCAGTTTTGCCTCTCTGTTAACCTTAAAATGAATTAACAAACTTTAAGAACCAATGTAACCTAGTTAAAATATTTTTAACACAATTTCAAAGAGTTTTTGGCAGAGAGGTATCGGAGAGTGTATGTTTATGTTTCTGAGCGAGAGGGAGAAAAATCTTGACGATGTACTAAAAATGGATACATTTCCTTCCAGAGCTGGGCGATTCACTAAGTTTCACAAGGAAACTAACTCACAGAGACAGTTATTGCTGTTTTTCGATCGTTTGATAAAACCAGTTGGTGAACTGACGGAACTGTTGGGCAGTGTTTTGAGATTCTTCTTGTAGTCTCCGGTTTTCATCCCGCAGGCTTCTAACTTCATCTTCCAGAGACAGCCTGCGTTTGGTCTCTCTTGTCAGGCGACTCTCTAGCTGCGATAAGTGCTTTTGCAGCTCTACCATCTGACGATTTCTGAAAACAGAAATAGTAAGTTGAAAAGAGATAGCTCATACTTTATAAATTGGGAAGTTCGGCAAATTCTTGAGATCGAATATGCTAGACCCTATCAAATGGTGTAAACCAAAAACAAAATTCCGTTTGAATGAAGTGTAGATCCATCCTATTGGCAGCAGTTTTCTTCATACTACTGATTTTTAAATTGATTTTCAGAGGAAGATTTGAAACTTAATTGTTGCCATCGTTAGCAAACAACACTATTATCCGTCTTCTACTTCTGTCGGCCGTCTTGTTTGCGAAGATGGTATCACTTGAATTTCATTGAAAAAGTGTGTGATATTTGATCGCAAAAATTTTCCCTCTGAATCCTGTGATAGTACATTGATAGTACATCTATAGTGAGTACATCAAAAATTTCAAGACATTGAGGGCTGAGCTACTTCAGCAGAATTAGATTACAATAAAAAAAGACTCCTCTATGATGTATGAAAATGAAAAGTATAACTATCTGTGCAGATAACTTAGGACACCATTATTTATCAAGGCTCTATATGTATAAAAAATATAGTATATAGTATATAGTAATATAGTATGTATATTAGTTTGTTCAAAAATAGTTGGCCAATTTCAAGTATGAGATGGAAGTCGCACCATTTGGATTCTCTCAAATAGTTTCGATTAATGAGGGTAAAATGAAGGGGGGTAAAATAAAGGGGCACATATTTTGTTTTCGAAAACAAAATGCATTTTAAAGTTACCAAATAAGTACCCGGCTATTGAGCAATTAGAAACACTATGGAACCTTGATTACCCAATCTTTGCATAATCCCACATTTGACGTCAAATTTATTGCCACTTTCATCATATTTGTGGCCATTTTCACTAAATATCTTTCCATTTTTTTTTCTTTTTTTTCGACTTGGAAATTTTGAGCTCGTAATATAGGATTAAAAATATTTTTTTGCCAAACAACACCAAGTACACAACACACTTTAGGTTATTACCTACCACTAGACTAGATGGTCAATGAAATTGCAAAAATACAAATCTCAGTCAGGGATGTCATGTTTTTGCTGTTTTTCCATTGATAGTTACGTACTCGGAGTGTGATAGGAGTGGGAACTAGTCTGTAAACTACTCAAATTATCTTTTATTATTTTTATCTGACACACCGCCCAACTTTGATAGTCAAATTATCAAAGTGCCCCTGTCATATTTCTCCCTTGAAATGACAGAGATGCAATTACCATCCTTCACCTACCTAGGAAACATAGTGCTCAATAATTACGTTGATAATTTTTGATTTGTTGTTTAGATGAGACTGATTATTTCTTTTTTGGAAAAAATCAAACAAGACCACAATAACTGGTCACTTTGAAGACTTACGTTATTTTTGAACAGGAGTCTAATCCAAGTTTTTCAGCGACATCAGAGACCCAGATGCCAAGGTTTTCATCATTTTTTTTGTGGGGCGTACTAGTGCTGACTCCATAAATCCCTGTATCTGAGGCAGAGCTTGAGTTTGAAATATGGATCATGGAGTTGGACAGTTTCTCTCTCATGCTGGAGCTTCTTTTGTCTTCCCGGTATTCCGGAGACACTACGAGATTCGGGTCTGCTTTAACAGGACTCAGCTTTGTGACTCGAGGTGACAGTCTGCAACATAAAAGGAAGATGCAACGTATGAGAAGGCTGGACAAAATGTAAAAACCTCTGAGTGCTCCTTGATATGACAAAAGCCCGTGTCATACTGTCAAAATACTTCATCAAAATATCAAGGTCAGGTGTTGTGATTGGCTTATTTGATTACTTGGACCAATCACAGCACTGGACTTTGTCATTTTGAAGGAGTGTTTTGAAAGTGTGATACAGGCTGAACTCCAAAATAAGTAACATTGGAGAAACCGAACAATGAGATTACAATTAGTACCTTGTCTATTGGTCCATTCCATTCCTCGAAGTACCGGGTGAGTGGAATGTGTGGTGATTTTTGCGTCATTTCGGAGCCAAAATCCCGGATAAGCCCGCTTCTAAAAAGTCCGAAGACTCAGTGCGGGAAAATGATGAGGGTGATGAACTATGGCTATCAAATCACTATCTCCTCTCATTTTCTACTGAAGTTAGTTAAACTAAAACACACTTTAATGTGAAATTGTTGCTTGTTTCCTACAGACAAAATGGATGATATTTGATTCTTTGATTTTATAGGAAAAACTTTTTTAACTTTTTCATTGTTTTCACATACAAGGAGTAGAAAGGCAAAGAAGTCATAGAACCCGTGCTTGCTTCTGATTGGTGCCGCATGGCATTTTTTGATTCGGCGTGAAACCGGAGCGTTATATAATTGTGAAAAAAGTGCGCTTCTTGAACTGCATGTTTTGAGATTCTTTTTGCATATTTAATGTGCGCATTGTGTTCTATGCATAATTTACTTTTGGAAAAAAGTATTTGCAATTCAAAATGTGTTCATCGTTTAGTGACACATTCACAGTTTAAATGGGAAAAAGCCACACTTCGGTATAGCGATTTCCACATCAGTAAGCAACAATTATCTACACACAACAAAAAAAGCTAGATGTTATAGTTACAATAATTTACCTTTCTTCTTTGGAGAGTTTGGATTCCATAGGCCCAGGCTGAGGACTGGGTGCATTGGAAATAACAGTGGCCGGGCGAGCCATGGTAAGAATGACCTCACTGGCCACACTCAACGCTGAACCGCTTAGAGTTGAATTGGCACTACTGTGAATGTTGTCACGAGATTTGGAGCGGTGCAACAAATCTGGGATACTGGTTGTGCTCTGAGAAACACTATTGCCGTTACTATAAATTTTCCCGCTTAGTCCAGACATATTTCCACCATGTGACTGAAAAAAAAACAGGCATTGTGGTTACGATGTGAAATGATTTGGCATAGACTGGGGATGCTCAAAAGAATCACTGAGCTAAGTTATGTAGTCTGTTTTACATGGATTATTCACAACATCAGGATGGAGGTACAGCTTTTCTTATGAATTAAGATGGTAAATGTTACCTGATATCGGCTAAAAAAAATCTGCCACTCCTAGATTTTGATTGTTGTGATCTTTTTCTAATTTTTCTATTTACTTTTCTATCAAGATTTGAAGAGAAAAAATTATCGCGTGCAGTATGTGCCTCCTTGTTCCCTTGATTTACCGGTCCCCCCACCAAAAGCCCCTTTGGTTCCTGCTAAATCCATCCCTTACAGTGTTCTCATTTGTTGCTTCAACTCTGCTCCGCGCTCAGCACTGAAGAGCGTTTTCTTTTGAGTTTTTTTGTTGCTCGGTCGAGGCTACAAATGACTCTGCTAAAGTTTATCAGTTTGAAACGTTTTCATGGAATGCCTGCAATACAGCTTAGGTGTAAAATTTTCTTTTCTTGACTGAAACATGACATTTTTAGTGAAATTTTTTGTGAGATTTATGTTTTCTAAGATTTTCAAGCCACCAAACACAATTGCTCTGAGCTTTTAAACGAGAGAAGGTTTCATTTACTTTAGAGATATCTTCCATGGTTTATTTTTCATTCAGGAGTAGAGATAACTGAAAGATTCTTTGATTCTCAGTGTAAAGAGAGAGCATCGATAAATACCTTGTTCAGAGCTGAGTCATCAGAGGAAAGATACTCTGGGCTTATCAGTTTCATCAGGTCTTGCTGGAGGGTGCTGTTCAGATTTGCACTGTGTCTATTGGCTGGCGATCTCGATGCAACCTCTGGTCGCAACCGTGCTTCACCAGTGTCTCGAAGTCTACGTGGACTCTGTCCTCGGCTAGACGGAGTCCCTGGCATTGATTTTGCTGAGAATCGAGAGCTGGTCGACATGGTTCCACTCCCTGAAAAAATTAATTTCAAGTAACAAAAAGTTGAAAAATATAACGAATAAATAGTGGTTCAATTGAGCTCGGAACGTTCCAAAAAAAAAGGATCTTGCCAAATGTGGCGATAGAAAAATCGGGCGAGTACATTAGCTGACGGTTGAACTTTTTTAAATTGCACAGTTGAAAGCCTATAAATCTCCTGTTGATCAACAACAGATCACAACCCTTCTGAGTATTCTTCCACAAGCCATTCTGCCACTGTATACTTAAAGGTAACGAGCGCACAATTCAAACTCCACTTTCCGTGACACTAATTTTCTGCATTTAGAGTGTATTTTTTTTCCAGTTACCATTGTGGCAAAACAAATGAGGAAAAGACAGCGAGATTGGTTCAAATGATACTTTTAAATGACACAAATTGATTTGTACCAGACGTCTGACATGATCATTTCTCCATTATCGGAAATTCCCTGAGTGAGAATTTTCTAAATAAGTAAGCTTTGTCCTCCCTTTTAATTCTTTTTGGGTTCACACCTAAGACATTAACCGGCTACTAAAGTAAGACTGACAAATTTTTCGCCTTCAGTTTAACATTTTAAGAAAAAAAAAATACAAGAATCAGGTGGATAAATCCAATGCCTTGCTCTCAAAGTAAGTCAGCTTACTTGGCGTTAACTATAGGCTTATAGATGGATGGAGAAAATAAAGAGGAGGATAATGTCATGAGTTCCAAGAACAATTTTATAAATTTTGTATAAAACGCTGAAGAAAGACAAACTTGGATAAAGGAAACAGCATTACCTTCACTCTGCGCTCTTTCACTGTCTGTGTCATTGGATAAAACACTGAGAGGAAGACTTGCAGATTTGTCTGTATCAATTTGAGCATAAATACTGCTGCCATTGTAATCAGAGACCTGTTGACAAACATCGTAACGGATGAATTTATAAAATAAAAGTAGGTAATCAAATTAAGATCTAGCTGCTCATACCAAATATAAATTTTACGAAGAGACTACAATTTATTTTACTAATAGGGTTAGGGTTAGGGTTAGGGTGGGCACTACAGTCCACATTAAGAGAAGAAAAAAATAATTAGAATTAGAAATCTTTCCCCTCTATAGCACAGAGTACCTTCACCACAATTCTTAACAGAAATGGGTCCACAATACAATGTACAAATTTAAGCAACATGATACATGCTTTTCATCATAATTTTGCAATTTGTACGACAAAAATTTTACAAAGTAACTCCTACCTAGGGAAAAGGACGTTTTCTGATGTATAAATTCAATTTTTCCTCTCATAAAAAAATTCCATAGTCCATTTGAGTTAAGTCTCACACACACAGTGTATAACAGTCTCTGCGGTATGAAAATATAGCAATAAGCGCTCCAGCTTAGCTGTTCCACATTCTTCACACTTTGAACAATACAGAGTGTGGATGGAAGACTGCTTGATTAAGAGGCCTGCCAAAACTAATATCGAGCGCAATTTAATTCTAGACTCTAGTTTTCCTTGTGAGCAGAAAATTCAATTATTTGGAACCATTGGGTCATCTTAATGTTGGTATCTTGGTTGGGAATGGATTTCAGTAATCCTCCATACGCAAATTGCATTTTAGATGAAATTTTGAGGAGGAAAAACGTATCGGAAGCCTTAAATTTGTATTCCAACTGATGGTCCATTCAGCTCTGCAATAGTGTAGTGCTTAGAATGTTTAGAGGATATTTATCCAGTTATGATGGCCCCAAAGAGGTTTGAGAAACAGTATCGATTTGTTTTCTCCTTTTGACAAAATGAATGGAGGTAGGTAATTTGCCTCAATAAAAGAGCTAATTTTGGTTCTGTCATATTCAATGAAACCGTTGATTATAAATTTTTCGATTTTAATTCTTCAGGAAGTGACTTCGTGTTCCTCAACAGAAGTCTGAGAAAGTCCTACTTTTTAACTGATGAAACATCAATGATTTTAACTTACAAATAAAAAAAAAATGCCACAAGCTAGGGGAAAAAAAGGCCAGCAAGAGAGAACACTTTCTTACCTTGGGCATCCTAGTCACCAAATGATACTCGTTTACGGAGTCATTGTGGTGATTCAGATTCCTCTGCATCTCATCATTGCGATCTGAGGGGCTCATCAAACAGGTCGTGACCTTCTCGCCGACCTTGAAATCATGCTGATGGGGCGCCAAATCAGAGGAGTTATTCATGTTCTTGTCGAGCACCGGCATGAAATCGATGCGACTTCCTCCGAATTTGGCCGCGGACGAGTTTTTTAGACCCGACGCGACAGAGAGGGAGAAACTGTTGTTGTTACTCAGTGGCAACGAGTTGCTTTGGTAGATCTTTGTATGGCTGCTGTTGTAGGGTGATTTAGTGTTTGAGTTGTTGAGCGTGGTAGAGTGGAGGCGGGCTGGCAGAGGGGGTGGCGGCGAGTCATTAAGGTCAGACTGGACTCGGTGGTTGGCCGACTGGTTATCCAGGTCAATCGGTGGCTCCAGGAGATCGTACCACCTGTCATCGTTGTTACTTGAGTGACCGCTTGAGCAGCTCATCAAAGTTCCCTGAAAGGATAAAAATCCTCCATTAATACGAACAAAAGAAGTTAAATAGACGCTCAAGAAAATTGTCTAGGAAAAATTTATGAGGGAAAGTAAATCAATTTACTAATTTTTGTTCTGACTCGAAGAAAAGACGACTTTAGTAGCTAGGAGTGCTTCTTCTAACTGATTCTATTATCTTTCCATCCTTGACGGGACTCATGATCATAAAAACTGTTCAGCATGTGAAAAAGCTAATTACTGAACTTGAGATCATTATCTGTGATGAAAAGAGACAAAAATTGTGACAGAAAAAGCTGTATCATAAACATTGGAATAAAATTCATTACCTCATGGTTGGCTGGAAATCTTGGGTCGACACCACTGAATGATTTACTACTACTTCCAGTGCCATATCCACTGCTGCTACTAGACCTCGGAGGAGAAAAACTCCTTTCATATCTACAGTAGAGAAAAAAACGTTTAAATATCTTCCTTTGAAATGAGACTATAGATAAAATTTAAAACAGATAGCAAGTGACCTGTTGGGAAATCTTTATTAAGGCTACCATCTTAAGCTACTCTTCTCTCTTTGTTTATCAGAGAAGAACTTCTCATTCAGATTTTTTGCTCCATTTCAAAGATTAGACTTTTCCTTCGGACTCTTCGAATTTCCTATATCTTTTCTTGTTCCCATCAAAAAACTTTTTCTTATAGAATTCATCACCTTTTTAGAGTGGGAGCGTACTTAAGTGACTGAGACAGATTTGATAGATGGAGACAGGTGACAGACTTAAGTTTAAGACTTGTAAGGTCTAATTAAATTGGGACATGCGAAAACCGCTAACATCCATTTTGCTAGTCTTCAGTTTTTCTGAGTTGATAATACTTTTAAAGAGTTGATATAACCATAAAAGTGAGGAGAGGACTTGTTTTGGGATTAAGGTAACCCGGAGATGAGTATTAACGCCACTTTCGAGGTTGCATCCAACTCCGATAAGTATCATCAACTCAAAAAAACTGAGGACTAGAAAAATGGACATTAGCGGTTTTCACACGCCCCGTTTCAATTGAACATTGACAGAAATAAGAATTAATGTAAAATGTACGGCTTAATTTAAGAAGAATTCAACTTCCAAAAGGCAGGTAAAGCAAATAAAATCTCTAACAAACCTTCGTCTATGATGAGATGGAACAGCTTGCTGAAGCACAGCAACTTTTTTGGGACTAGCTTTCATATCTTCAACATTGGATAAATTCTCGTAGTCTACTTCGTAGTTACTAGAAGTGTACTTGCAATTTTGCAGAGAACAGCCCCTATTCAAGACAAGAATGTAAGTAAATTATAGGAAAATTAGAATAAAAATGTATGCAATAGAAATGTGAATAAAAAATGCAAAAAAGCTACAAAGTATGTGATAGAATCGGATTTTACAGTGCGCCATTCTATCATGATGTCAGATAATTCGAGCTTGAAACAATATTGATTTACAATGAGGTGTTCAGTGGGTAATTTAAAAATGTTTTTGTTAAGTTTTAAAGTACCCTTAGCACATTCGATATTTTAATTGTGCTTTGACAGACCATTGCGGACAAAACTTAAGCCTTCAAGGTAGGTTGAAAAGTTACTTAAATACAGGAGTGAGCCCAAATTTTAATGCATGTAGTTTATTATAAAGTTTCCATTTTGTTTTAATTATAATTTTTATTATAAATTTCTTATCTCAGATAACTGGATGAGTAGCTGGTAAAAAAATTAAGATACAAATAAAAATTACAGAATATTACCTTCTTGGTGATCCATCTGGTAGGGGAGGAATCACGGTGACTGTAACAAGTAAAGATGTTTTCAGCAGATCTACCATCTGATCATGGCTTAAAGTAGAAACAGCAATTTTACAAATCTGAAAAGAAAGAAAACACGTCAATAAAATATTGATGGATCACACCTTCAAATTTGACATGATACGATGAAATAAAAAAGAAAATAACCTGATTTATGTTTCACGTTCTTTCAATTCTCTTTCTGGAGGCTAGTTGATAAGTCCGAGTTAATTGTGGCTTCATCACATTAAAAATTAAAATTATGTGATCATTGTAATAAAAGTTTGAAGCAATGTAACTTTTATATAGGAACAGTCAAACTTTTTCAGTATTATGGTAGAGATTTTTTCCGCTTCCCTTTAGATTTTTCATCAAGATATTTACCGCATTACAGGTCACTTGATCGAACATTTACTTTTATTTTATTTTCATTAAACTTCCAGTAATATTATTTCATTCAATCATTTTGGCATCTCACTGATGATCTTTTAGGAAAGACAGACATTTTCTTCCTTTCTTTAATAGTTGGAAGTATAATTTATTTTTATCGGTGCTTGATGTCCTTTGAAAATTAATACATTTTAAGACCGGTCCAAGGCATTTTTCTCAATATTCAGGAGCTTTTAAAAGAAACTGTTAAAAAGCAAGTGGGTTCAGAAGACAGGATAATCAAAACAGCAAAAAGTCAAAACAGGCTTACTTCGACAAGCCTTGCTCCATGCCGCAGCCCAACTTGATGCGCCAAACCTGATGTTTCGACTTGAGTGACAACGCCATCAGGCTGAACATGGAAGCCCAACTGACCCTGCGGGTTCCTGCGCAGAGTCAATTCCTGCGCTGGTGATCCTGGAGTGACAGAACGCAATCTAACAACGACCTCCATTAGTTCGTCTCGATCTCCTCCTTCTCTCATGTGAACAGTCGTACATTCTCCTTGGTGGTAGTAGATTCTCAGGCTGGATGAAAAGATAAAAATAGATAATCGGTGAGCAGAATTGATAAAAAAATCATATTACAGAAAAATCTTCACAGTCGTCTGAAAACATAATTATATTAACCCTTTCCGGTCCAATGTCGGATATATTTTTCATGAAAAATAACGCGTTTAGGTCCAATATCAGATATAGTCGCCCAAAAGTTTGAACTTCTACGCAGACCCAATGTCAGGTATATTCGACTGCTCCAGCAAGTGGCGGCCTCTGGTGGACCCTTTGGAAACCACTGTCTTTGTTGACAGTAGACACGGACCTGCCACGGCGGCCGTGGAAAACTGCCACGGACCAGGAAGAGTTAACAGACAGATAGCAGTTGGATGTACGAGTCGTTTATACAGGGTGTTGGTGATTTTGCCGATGTGCGTTCAAATTCAGTCTGGAACTGATGTCACATTCAAACGCAGAAAAGCTCATCTGAGCTCAATTTTCCATCAAGAGGGACATCAGTTGTAGACTGAATGTGGCAAAATCACCATCATTCCTGTTAGTTTGATTTACGAGCTTTTTGCCAACACAAACTATGATGTAAAAAAGTAATTTTTATGATTATCTACTTTGTTCTTGGTGAAATTCTAAAAGGAATAGGGCTGGATAATTGAATTGGTTTCACCTGTTTGGGTGACAGTCAGTGTGATATGGCTGAGAGCTCAAGAGGAGAGAAAAAACTTTGTGAAGAGTTGGAATGACAGATTGAAGGGTGGTATCATTATGTTTTTCATGCTGAGGATTTCAGTTTCAACGCCACTAAATGTACAATCACATGTAATTTGAAACGGTAAAATTGTTGATTCTTGTTGACAGATAAATGGACACAGTTGGACACAGTTGACGAAGCACTTATTAGAGAGAAATTTTAGCCCAATAAAAGTAGCTGGACTGAAGTTATTTAATTTTAATCTGAATTCACTGTACCACGACTTAGTTGAATTTTTGCCTTTCAGTTTTTCAAATATTTTTATTCTGAGCTTTTAAGGGTTTGTTTGTTTGTTTGTTTTTTTTTTAAATTTAAGGGAAATTTTAATTGACCTGAACATATACCTGTTGCTTTGCGAGGCCCAGCCGAGAATGGATTTACATGGTGTCACGAAAACGATGTCACGAGTCTGCGTTTCAACCAGCACAAGTGAGTCAGCAGATATGGCCAGAATGCATTGTACTGTTGTATCTCGTCCACTATCCGAAAGTGTTACCACCCAGCATAGAGCACCACTTACCCATCCATCTGGCACGATTCTGGGCCTCCAGCGTTCACGCTTGCGACTACTAAATAAAGGCATAGCTGGAAGAAAGAGAAATTAAACCTTGGCTTCAAATTAACGAAAACAAAAGTGGTTTCTAAAACAGTAAAAAAATCTTGTACACGAAGACAAAAAAATCAAGAAGATGGAGCATCGATATGCCTAAAAAAACTCATATTGTTTAATAATTTTTACTTCATTCATTTATTGAGTTTGGGTCTTTTTAACAAAAATTCAATGAAATACTGTTAATTTGCAGATTGATCTTTCAAATCCTTTCAAAACTTTGACACATTTTGACAGTGAAACTGCAGGAATGCGTACAACCTCTCATAGCGTTGTAGACTTTTCACCTTATTTCTTCTTCCGCATGGAAAACTACTAATAATCATTTCTTGAATACTTCAGAGATTTTCTTCATATATGAGAAGAATATTCCAAAAAAGTTTTACGCTATGATGTTGTTTTGGTCTCCTATTAAAAATGAAATAGGGGCACAGATTTTGAAACACTGCAACCGAAAAACACAATTTTACAGTTGCATTATCAATTTGTTGCAAACATTTTTAGTCTATTTTCCGAAGAAAATAAGATGTTACATTTTTTTAAGTTATTATTCTTGTAGGGACAGCAAAACTCATTGGGAAACAGTAAAATACAAAAGCAATAAACAAAGAAAACATGTGATGGTTACAACCCAGCAACCCTAGTGCTGTCTTTTGATTATGCTTGTATCAAATAATTGATAATTAATTTTCAGATGGCCCTGCAAGCACAATACAGCTGGAGGGTTTCATTAGTGCTATGTAACAATCCAAATAACACCTCCTGCTAAACTCCTAATTCAATATGACCAAAAAGAGTAAAAAAAGAAGACAACTTACAAAATTTCTGAGAGGTTTCTATGAGGGTATTGGTCGAATAATTAGAGACGAGATCTTTCAGGTACTCCTGTCTTGTTCTTGTTGCCATAGTAGCAAATTTATCCGACCTATGGGCAGCATTTTCACCATTAATTATTTTGGCCAGTAAAAATTCCGTAAAGTGCTTAGATTTTGTGAATGTTGCTTCTTCAGGAAGCGGAGGTCCAAAAACTGGCACTTCTTTCGATCTAGTGACAGCAACCCTGAAAAATTAGAAAAACACGCTTCAAATGAGGAATATGTTTCATAGGCGTTTGAACTTTAAGAAAGGTTTGAAAATTTTCTAATATGACGACGATAAACTAGAAAAATGAGTAAAACGGATAAAAGTTCGGAAAAAATATCAAACAGTTAATAGAGACTGACTGCATATATTTGCACAGATATTTTGAAAACATTGATGAGAATTTTCAAAACTTTAAAAAAACAAGAGAGGCTTTTAGACTTGGGGAAAAATTGATACTCTCAACTTACACCTAAATTTTTGTGTAAATTATTTTTCCTTTTCATGGAATCTCTTAAACTGATGAAAAACTACCAGAGTTTACAATTGAACCACTTATCATAATCCTGGAAGTTGGCCTTGAGAATAATTATAAAAATTACTGCGAAGACAAATTTAATTTTATAGCTCACTTCATTTTTGAACTTCATACAAGGTTGAAATAATCTTTCTTACCTATACTGCGTGTTATCGGAGCAAGGATTGATAGCACGAATTATGATAAATACATGCTGGAACTGAGAACGAATGTTTTTTGGAGTGAACGGCAGTGCTCCTGCTTCTTGGAAAACAATTGTCACTATGTCATTGCCAATGTGGCGTTTCCTCAATAACTGTTGCCGGTTATTGGGAGTGAAGGGTAGCAGTGTTGAGACGTGGAACATGATCTCGCAATCTTGATACTGAGAGTACACAGAGCACAAACCCGTGGAATCAGCTGAAATAATAGAATTAGAAATAAGATACCATTTGAATTACTATTGTGAATGTCAGTGATTAAAATTGCTAAAAAACAGCTTTGACCACCTTTAAAAGAGTAATTCGACAATCCATCAAATACGACAGATTTCTTGCAATGAAGGATAGATGAAGAGCTTACAATACAAGGAAAATGGAAAATCTTTCTTTCTCCAATGTCTTTCATACAAATCTTTTGTGAAGATTTTTTTTCCTCATCAATTCTCAAGTAGCCCTGCTAATTCTTCACTCAATCCTCCGATCTCTTTACATTCAGCCCCAGGTGATCATAGCCTAGGACCATTAAAATCAGGGTACCTGGCCAGGAATCAAACCCAGGACCTCCTAATCATAGGGCCAGCATTGCGGCTGAAGTTTAAGATTAAGTTTTTAAGTTTAAGTGTTTTATAAACATTTGATTTAAGTTTGGAAACTTACTCTTATTGTCAAGGCCAGCCTTATACTTCTCGAAGCCTTTCAGTCGAACAGTCCGTCCGATCAAATCAAGGAATTCGATAAATGCTGGTCCTGCGTTTTCATTGTTGTACATTTCCTCTTCTGTTGCTTGTCCAGCTCGACAATACATCACGCCAACTTTGTACTGTCGACTTAAACCTTGCTCATCTAGTTTGAGTAAGGTTTCCTCAGTTTGATGAGTATTCATTCCTAGCCTTAAACTAAAAGAAACAGAAAAATTGTGATTACATTGTGACACTATCAACAGGAGAGGTAGATTTAAAGAAAGGTAAATAGTATGTGCACTACGAGGGTGTAATATATTTTTAAAACAGCTTTCCTAAATAAACATGCGGCTACAAGAGCCAGTTCCAGAATTTGATATATTGTTATAGATCGGAGTTGGGAAAAAATTATTCCGAAATTATTGGTCAATCAAAAACGTCCGATCAGTCGCCAATTGGACAAAAAATTTGACGAATGAACTATCTTATCAGGTAGAGAATTCTTAGGACCGAGCGTGTAGTCAGCATTTGCCACCAATTTCAGTGATTGCCAAATTATTTGCGCTCAACTCTGTTGTAGATTTCACTTTCATCGGCTGCTCTCTCATAAGTTATTCCTTGATAACGAAAAAGTAACATAAGAAACAGTTTTTCTGAAACATATTTCCAGTGTTCCTTCAGATAAAATATGACTATTGTTGTAGATGAAAGACTCACCATGATAACTGGATTTCAGGGGTTACATATTCTAAAACTTCTTTGGTATTCATGTGCTTGTTACTGCTGGATGGTTTCAGATTTGGAATTAAGTCTTCTAGTACGGATCCTCTAAGTGTTTGAAGCTGAAAAAAGATGAACTCTCAGTGAAATTGCGAAAAACTCAAGAGTGGTAAATGATAACTGAGAGATGAACAATATATTTATGTATAACTCATTGAGCATTTTCAAGTAATGAAAGACTTTTCCTGAAAATTCAGTTTGAGAAAGAAAAGAGCACTTCCACAAGAGATGGTTGAGACTAGAAAGGATCAATTGCTCTAGGCAAGAGATTGAGGTTTTTTTTGTTTAAGCTCATAGATAAGCAAAAAATAATATGATCTGTGAAGACGAATAGTTTCTTCGTCCAAAATTAACAGTGTGTACAGAAACTAAAGTTAGGTGAATTTTGGGTACTAACCTCACTGGTTCGGATTAATAACCTATATCTAAACATATGATTAGGACTAGTTGCATTGTTTGTGTTCTCCCCATTTGACCGATTTACTCGTTCCCGTTTTATAGAGATTGCCACTGGTCCCAAGTTTTCATCCATTCCGAACCAATTTTGGTGATCTGAAAAAACAAAATAGACAATGAAATATAACTACCAGCATACGTAAAAGCAAGAAGGTAGAAAAAAATTGAAAAGAAGGAATTCGGACGTAAACTCCAGCTTTTGCACATTCTAGGATAGAGATTTGATAGCATGAGAAGATGGTATTTATCTTTGTGCATGCGTTAACATGAGTGATTCAAACTTTCATGATAAGGCTGGAGCATTTGTCTCTCGAGGATACTTGAAAACAATCTTGAATATTCACTTGTAAATAGAAGATTGTACATCACTTGATGAGAGTGGAATTTTAGCCAGATTTTTCCTCTTATCAATATGTAAAATTTCAGTTCCTCTACTCTTCATTTTTGAGCAATATTCTTTTCTGGTTTCAGACGAAGCAAACAAAATTTAAGAAAAATTGAAGCTGTAAAATATTAGAAGAAAATGAGTGCGTGCCCTCTGATTTTTGCTGCAACCTACCTTGACCAAAAAAGTAGCGGCGATAATACAAAGCCCCTTGATCAACACTTTCAATAGTTCGATGGTGTTTCTGGTATGGGCAAGTCCCGTGTTTCCAATGTGTGTCTCCTGGGGGAAATTCGAGAATCGACACTCCGTATGACAGGGGTGGACGATGGTATGGTCGGTGATAGGAGCGGTACGAAGAGGAATGTCGGTTTTTGGCATTGCTCAATGACTCATTGGTGTTGACTCTTGTTAAACTGACAACTCGCTCCTCTTCACCACCCATTTCGTTTCTAAAGAAAGGACAGCTGAAAAACGAAAAATCCAGGGTAATTTATAATATCAGAACAGATATCTATTTCCTGCATCAACAGAACTGATTTAAAAACAAAATGTGGGCAGCAATTGCGTTTGTGTAGTTAATTTTGATCTTCTTTACAAAATTTAAGATTGAGAAAATGCATGCACATATTGATATGCAAGCTTTTTGATAGGTTTTTTCGATTCATATTTTTAGTATTATAGCTTTTTTTTACAGGTTTTCTTGAAATCTTCGCTTACCCTTAGAGTTCTGGCAAGATAGAATAGCAAGGTTGGGAGAACACAAGCTGTTTTTGAAAAAAATTATGATATTAATTAATTCAACTACAACTACCTAGTCTTGAAATATATTCTGAGAAAAATTCACTACTAAAATCCAATTTTCAAGTGAGTTAATTGTTACACTAGAAACTTTCTTTCTGCCGTAAGCCTGGATGTAATTTTGAAACTTTGAATACGTATTTCTTGAAGTAGTAAATATTACACTCATGCACCTTGTCCTCCAAACCCCTTAATTGAGATCCCAGTTCCAGAGAATCATTGAACAAAAAATTTGAAGACCTTAGTCTTTGGGAAGCAACTAATCTATTTTTTTAAACGATGGACATTTCTGTCACAGCACAATGTTGGCCTAGTTGCAAAAACCAAAAAAATCGGACAAGTTTATACAAGCCACTTTGTGTGTATGGACAGAACAGTTTGCACATCAAATTTCTGTACATTCTGTGCAACTCCTTGAATGGCTTTGGGAGGATAGAGGACTTGGGCGGCTGGGTCTCACTGAGCGCCAAAAGCGCTATGAAAGCAGCTTATATGGTGTATGTAAGTTTCAGGTTCTTACAGGCGCTAAAGGATTCCTCACCCAAAAAACAAAATTTAAAAAGGGTAGGTCATTGTTTGGGCCACTCGCCTAAAAGAGAGTGTTATTTCGGCGACTTGCCCAAATGAAAATGCTAATAAGGCAACGTTGTTTTTAAAACTTACCTTTCTAGTAGAACAGTAGTTGATATACTTCAATGATCGCTGGGTCAATGCTAGAGAAAATGATGAAAAGTTGGTTTGGTTGACAGGAAGTTCGCAAATTCTGCTGATTTTGTATTTCATCTTGAAATCGGTGCCATTTCACATCAACAGATCCTGAAAATCGTACTTTCAGGCTGACCTGCCTTAAAAGCCAACAAATCTTTGATTTTAGATAGATTTTTGTGACGACTCTTATGTGATAATTAAATATTCTNGGGGGGGGGGGGGAGGAGGAGGAGGTAAGTTCCTCGAATTGTGTTCCTAATTTTAAAGCAGAATTTAGGGACTTCCTATCAACCAAACTCAGTTTTCATCGTTTCCTCCAGCACTAACCCAGCGAACATCGGAGTATGTCAACTGCTGTCCATCTAAAAGAGTGATTTTTAAAAACAACGTTGCCATATTCAGAGGCGGATCCAGCAATTTGGCAACACCGGATTCCCTCCACTTAAACCTATGTAAAATAATCGATTCTTGTCAGAGCACCTGGCCCCACAAAAAATCGATACGTTTCCATAGGTTTAAATGGAGAAAAACGATGTTGCCAATTTGCTGGATCCGCCAATGGCCATATTAGCATTTTCATTTGGGCGAGTCGCCCAAATAATACGCTCGTTTGGGCGAGTCACCCAAATAATACGCTCGTTTGGGCGAGTCACCCAAGTAATACGCTCGTTTGGGCGAGTCACCCAAATAATACGCTCGTTTTGGCGAGTCACCCAAATGATCGACTACCCCAAAGAGAGGATCTCCAGTGGGTGTTACCTTTCAACGAGATCATTACAGCGTCCATCACCCAGGTCCTCGTCATTAGTGTCCGCTCCCTCGGGAGTGGCAGCCCGCGCACCGATCATGGAGGCAGCCGAAGCTCCTGTCGTGGTGTTGCGCCTGCGGGACAGAAGGAGACTCCTCAATCGTGCGACATAACCGAGATTGGCTGTTAGGGACTGACAGTCGTAGTGGGCGAATGCTCGTCGACGCTGCTTGTCCTCTGTCTCGGCATCCTGGTTCCCCATCACCGCTTGATCGTTGTTGTTGGCACTGTTCGACGTCTTCTCGTCCTCCTCTTGGAGACGCTCTCCACCATTGCTCCTCCTGAAAGAATCGAATATGAAAATTAGTCATTATGATAATGCCAGGCTGACCTTAATTTTCGGGGTTTCCACTCTCTCCACCCCTTTCCTCCTACCCTTCACCGGGCACATAAGAATTGTCATCGTCCTTGACAGAACCTATTTCTTGGGAGATACATCTTAAGCGCATTCAAATAATGCCAAACTTCCTTCAATAAACTGTTCAAAATGGGGAAAAGTTGAAAGCAGTGGCGTGGTGTGAATTGCGATGTATCGATTGTTATGCCATTTAAATCCATGGTAAAGAATCGATTACTAAGGTGTTCGCTGCGAACACCCTGTTTATCGATCCTTTTCCATAGGTTTAAAGGGCATAACAATCGATACATCGCAATTCACGCCACGCCACTGGTTGAAAGTATGTATTTTTGGTTGATTTTTGGAAGACCAGGACCATTTCCATAATTTCTCCGAATCTGATGATAATGAAAAAGCAGCATGTGTACTTTGCGGCGGAAAGTCCTTTAAAATTGTAATGATGGGCGAATCTACTGTCAAAAGTCACTTAAAATGGCAGAAACATCTAGAAAACTTTCCACGTTTTGGAAAAAAACCTCTCAAACAACAGTGAAGTGTTAATTTGTGGATGAAGCAAAATCCTTCGATACGGTGAGAAAACTGTGCGTATTATGGAGAAGTGCTTGAAAAGTGCTTGAAAATTCTTAAAAAAGAGCTTGATTTTTTAATCTCGAGCCTGCAAGAACCACGCTCTTGCTCATCCTCAATCGTCACGATCTGGCGACAAAGACGTTTGAACGTCAAAGATGGAAATCGCACTGGCTTTCAGGAGACGAACCGCCCAGGAGAATAGTTTCCATTTAGTGTTTTTGTGACCTCTGATTGTGAGTATGAAGAATATTGCAGTAGTTGTGTGCGAGACTGAGCAGTTCAGCCTAGGATAGCGTGAGGGAACTGCACAAAAAGTGAAGCCTCCGGAAAAGGCGCCCTAGTGGCCCAGTGCCACTTCCCGCCGCAGTAAATACTCGGCCAGATTACCTAAGTCCCCCGGAAACGCGTGAGCTACGTGACACGCTTACCGCACCGAATCTACTGTGCCAAGGAAAAACGCCCGATGAACTTTTCGACGTCATCAAATTTTTTCATATTAAGTGCAAATTCTTAAGAGATCTTGCCAATTTTTTGTCTCTAATTTTTCAGGATACATCCACAATATAATTTAGCGTATTAAAGGGTTCCGGCAGTCTGAAAAACGTGGAAAACTTAGGAAAGTCAGGGGATTTCTGGCGACATTGAAAAGTTAGGGGGATGGCAAGAAATTAATCAGAAAAATCAAGGGATTTCACGAGGATCGCTCAGTAAAAGTAAGTGTATTGAAAAGGAAAAAATCAAAGTGTAAGTGGGAATTTTATTCGAATGTTACTGTCAGGGAAAGTCAGGGAATTCGAAAAGGTTGGAGACTGTGAAAAGCAAAAAAAGTCTGAAGAAAATCAGGGAATCGAAGAATGAAGAAATTATGGAAACGTTCCCGAGCGAGTTCTTTCCTAGGAACGTGCATGAAGAGATTATTTCTTCTGAGAACGTTCCCGATAAGCTTCCGCAACCGAGAATGTTTCCGCAAGAGTTCTAGCTCTCGAGTGGGTACGCTCCCAAGAAACTCCTTACTCCCTTGAACACAAGAAAGAAAATCCGAGAAAGAAGCTCTTGATCCTGAGAATGTTTCCGATAAACACCTTACTTCCAGGGCGTCCCCATGAGGGAAACTTTTCGCAACGTTCCCGAAGGAATTTCTGCTCCTAAGAACGTCCCCGAGAAGGTTCTTGATTTTGAAACCATTCTCGAAGAAGTTCTTGCTTCCGGGAGCGTTCCCGAAAAAGTTCTTGATTTCAAAACCCTCCCCGAAGAAGTTCTTACTCTCGGGGGCGTTCCCGAAGAGGGTTCTGCTCCCTAAGACGTCCCAAAGAGACTTCTTGTTCCTGGGAACGTTCATAAGAAACCCTTGGATCCGGGAAGGATCCCGACACAGTTCTTGCTCCGACTCGGAGCCCCGGATATCCTCATAATGGACTTATCTTTCCGGGAGCGTTCCCGAAGAAGTTTTTGACTTCAAAACCCTTCCCGAGGAAGTTCTTGCTTTCGGGAGCGTTCCCGAAGAAGTTTCTGCTCCCGAAGACGTCCCTAAGAGACTTCTTGCTCCTCATGGGAACGTTCATAAGAAACTCTTGGATCTGGGAGGATCCCGACACAGTTGTTGCTCCGACTCGGAGCCCTGGATATCCTAAAGTTCTCGATTTCAAAATCTTTCCCGAGGAAGTTCTTGCTCTCGGGAGCGTTCCCGAAAAGGTTTCTGCTCCCGAAAATGTCCCTAAGAGACATCTTGCTCCTAGGAACGTTCCTCAGAAACCCTTGGATCCGGGAAGGATCCCGACACAGTTCTCGCTCTGACTCGGAGCCCTGGATATCCTGAAGTTCTTGATTTCAAATTTTGGTCTCGAGAGCATTCCCGAAGAGGTTTCTGATCCCGAAGACGTCCCTAAGAGACTTCTTGCTCCTGGGAGCGTTAATAAGAAACCCTTGGACCCGGAAAGGATCCCGACACAGTTCTTGCTCCGACTCGGAGCCCCGGATATCCTGACAATGGACTTACCTTTGAACGCCGTTGCTGTTGGGGGAGCTCCAGAATCGGTGGAACTTGATCTTGTGCTTGGGCGAGGAGTTGGCGTTGCGGGCGTCGGCGCGGGAGTCGGGGGTCTCCGGCCCGGAGGGGCTCCCGGTGCCGTCGAGGGAGTCGCCGGGCTCCGAGTGGGAGTCGGCCGTGCTCTTGCTCCGCAGGCTCCCGCGCCCGTCGTCGTCCTTGCCTTTCCCGCCTCCGCCGCGGCTCCGGTCCAGGCCTAGCACGGCCGGCTTGTACTCCTGCAGCAGGGCGAAGAAGTTCTCGCTCCCGGAACCCGGGCCCGAAGGGTGGTTGTGCCCGAATCTGAAATCAAAATAATCCACGTTAAAGTCTCGTCACTCTTGAGTCACCTTGAGTCCCTTTATACTGTGAGTCAAGACAATGTGAATCCATTTCTGATTGGTTCCCGTATTTTAGGCCTTCACAGTGTCACAAACGGGAATAGAGATTACATTTTCACCGATTGCAGAGATTATAATCTGGAGTGGATCAAGGAATTACGGGTTCGGGAAGGAACAAATTGAATAAGAGAGGGAACGGAGAAAGGAATTTGAGAATGGGCCGATCAAAGATCACGAAAAACGTCCAATTTCTGTATTCTTTATTCCCGTTTGTAACTCCATGAGGGGCTGTTGTCTACGCTTATCTTCGCCTACTCTGCCGCGCTAAGGAAGAACGCCGTATGAACATTCGAGCGTTGCCAAACCCCCTTGATAAAACGTGTATTTTTGACGCAATTCAAGCGTATACTTCCTGGAAATTTTCAGATATTTTAGATTGAATTGAGTACAGAGTTGTCTCAAAATTTTTGGGGGAAAATACTTAAAATTTTTCCAGTAAATTCGGTTTCTATCGAAGGAAATTTGGCAACGTCTGAGGGCTCATACGGCGTTCTTCCTTAGCACGGCAGTGCTGGCAACAGGTTGACACTTTCAATTTCGGGACTCCCGACAGAGAATGCGTTACAGATGGGGAAACAAAATAGGAAAGGGTAAGAAAACTAGGATTAATAGGCAGAAGAAGAAGGAGAAGATGAAGAAAAGTGGTTTCTTTTCCCCCTTCTCTTCATTACCGCTTCTTCTTCTTCTCCTTCATCAACTTCTATTTCTTTTCCTTCTCTTCCTTTCCCATGTAATGTCTGAGCTCCTTCTTGGCTTTTGGCTGATTTTTCTGACATGCAAATCCCAGGATTGTAATCAAGGTCGCTCCTTAAACAACTACACTGTGATGAAAGGAGGTTTAAATAGGGCTTCAACTCGCCATCATAAACAGAAAAGGACATCATAGAAGGACAATTTTACAGGCCTCTAGTGAAATGCAAAAGTGCTTAAAAGACAAACCCTTTCAAGGGGTTACAATGATTTGCTACTACTGAAAATTTTAGCGAAATTTGGCAAGGGTCTCGACAACGAACCTGTCGGCGCCGATGACGTCAATGCTGCCGTGGGAGCCGTACTCCCGCCTGAGGGCGAGGATCTGGGGGTCGTAGTGGAGGGCGGCGGCCGGGCCGGCCTGAGGGTCGTGCACCAGCTCCAGGCTCGAGTTGCTCCGGTGGTGGGTCATGCCCGAGTTGACGCGGGCCCGCAGCACCGAGTTGTAGTAGTCGACCGCCTGGAGGGCCCGCTCCCGGGCTCCCCCGCGGCCCCGCCCGGCGCTACCGCCTCCGCTCCCGCCGCCACCGCCCGGCCCCCCCGCACCCGGTGTCGTCGCCGCCGTCGCCGCCGCATCCGGGCTGTTGAGCCCGACCATCACATACTCCTGCAACATACAACAAACACATAGTAAGTATACAGTTGAACATTTCCATATTTATGCTTCAGGCACGTGGCCAAGGGCTCAAGCCCCCTCCGAAAGCAAAAAAAGGGGGAAAATGAAGAAAAGGGGAGACAGAAAATACAAGAAGGCAAGAAAAGAAGAAGTTTGAGCTTACAAAATGCGTCGAAATAGATCTAAAATTTAAAAAAATTTCCAGATGTGTTGAATGCAACAACTTGAAGGTATCGTAAGCTGTCCCAGGTCCCACCATGAGGGAGAACGCAATAGTGTATCTTTCCTTCGGAAAATACACTAAAAGATACGGAATTTTTCCGTAGAAATTGATGGAAAATCTGCGTCACGGAGGCCTCAGAACGCGTCCAAATAGAATTAAATTCCAAAAATTTGCCGGGGGAGGCCCCCCAAATCCCCCTCCCCTCGGAACTGCAGGGAGTTGGTCTTCACCCGCCGAACTCCTCCCTTAGCCGGGTAGGGGGGGTTCAGCGAGCTGAAGTTCATCAGGGTTGTCGACTGGAGCAGTTGGTTCTTTCGACCGAAGGCTCTTCTCTCCGAGCCGAAACGCGCCTACTGAACTATTCGGTTCGGCAAAGTTCAATCGGTGCCGCGTCTGCNGGGGGGGGGGGGGGGGGGGGGGGGCGATGGATAAAAACAGGGTAAACAGCTAACACGATGCGAGCATCCGATTATCCACGGCGATCCGCGCAGAACGGATGTGCTCCGACTGACTTACAACCGGCCGGAAAACCCGGATAATCCGAAAATATCGCCATCGTAAAGATATCGAGCGGTGCAGGTACGGTAAGGTGCATCGCAGCCGGAGTGCACGTCGAGTCTGGGATGCAAATCATTTGCATGCAAGCACTTCCTTGAAATGCCGAGTGTTTTTCATGGTACCAATGATCAGATACATGGGGCTGCCACGAAATTTAGACGATTAATTTACCTGACATATTTTGGTGAAATTCCCTGACAATTGAAAAAATTATGCCTGATTGTTAAAAAGACAAAAGTTAGAAATAGTTCTCGGGTGAAATTTGTTGTTCGGAACGCCAAGCCCATTCGAGAAAGCAAATGAAGATGACTTAACGATTTTCCTCTGAAATTTTCGTCATTTTCCCTTAAATTTCCAGGGTTTCCCTGACTTTTTAAAATTCCCTGACATTTCCCGGTTTTCCCTGACTGTGGCAACCCTGAATACCCCGCTGAGGCTGTTGCAGGACCCAGGACTCGGGAGCTGCCTGGATAGGAGCTGTTTCCTGGACGAGATAACTAACAGACGCATTTCCGAACTTTCAGGAAAACGCTCAAAGCAGCTTTTACGATAGGAATGAAGAGGCTTGAAATTGTAGTGTTAACCACCTTAGTCCCCATGGCAAGACCTCCCGCCAAAGACCCGATGGCAAAACGACTTGCCATTTCAAGTTCTAGTTTGAGTCGCCAGAGCGCTGCACTGACAACATTGAATAACTTAAATAGGCGAGCTATAATGTGCTATTTTGCGCTGCGAAAGGGAGATTGATTTTGTTGCGATTTTTGACGGTAAGGAAAATAAAAATAGGGGAAGTTAAAATTGGCTCAGGACTGAAGCACTGTAAAAATTGTGAAATCTCATGGTCTTAGGAGGATACACGACCGCATTTCTTCGGGCTGAAGCTTAAGGCAGCATAAGAAGCTATTTCCATTCCATGATTTTTCCATTTTCTCGTCGAACTGGAAGTCCCCGTGCTATCCCGACCAATTTTTGTTTTTCATACCACCATCATGATGTAAAAAGAAAGGATTTCAAAGTGTCCGTACTTTTCGTCTCATCTTGGCGTCCGAGTAGAGTAAAAATACGCGCGGGGCCCAACTCGCAGACGAAGTGAGGGGGGGGAAGGGGGTCATAAACGGCCCTCGTTGTTGGCGGCCGCGGCCGGTAAGTGAAAAAACAAATAAGCAGGGAGTAAACGAGCCCCCCTACGCGCCCCCCGCCCCCACGCTCCCGGCCGGACTTTCGGAGGTTCCCTGAAGTGAGCGCGTAAAAGTGATCTGTCCGATTCCGAAGGTGAGAATGGTGCTTTGGTGCTTATGGTGCTTCGCCCGGCATCTTGAACTCCGCGCGGTGGGCTCAACTGTCTGAATAATGGACCACTCTAAAGGATAAGAGTTTTAATACCACTAGAAGTGTCGCGCACGATTAAAACGCCTTCATTCTTTGTGCACGCAACACGGACATCCGTGAAGCATTGATAGTTGCATTCGTGAGGGAATGAGAGTTTCTACCTTCGATAAATTCGACTGCCGATAATGCTTGGAAAGACACGATTTGACATAGATTTCAGGCAAAATTTCTTGATTTTCCCTGACTGTGGCAACCCTGAATGTGCCTATGCATGGATATGTAAGTTCTCTACTAGTTAGAATTTTCCGTCTCAACAGGGTGTCAACCAAAACAGGCTGGCCAAAAATCAGTACTTTTCCGGTATTTTTCAGTACATTCCCAAGAAATTCAGTACCTCCTCAACAGACAAATTCAGTACTTTTTTAGTACCTAAAATTGACGAAATACGAAAAATTTCAAAACTTTGAATTCTCGCTCAAATTGCGACAAAATTGACAGAGGAATGAGAAAAATTCCGGACCTTCTTGCAGAATTTCCGCACTTTTTCGGTACTTCCGGACCGCCCTTAAAAATTCAGTACTATTTCCGGGCTTAGATACCCAGTGGGCCGATTATTGAAATTGATAGACAAAGAAAACATAAGGAGTAAAGGGCGACAATATTGGTTGGAATGGGTGGTTCTCATCGACTTGGGGGTAAATAATGGACCAACTATCGGGCCTCTCCTGGGTTGCCGTCTATTTCTTACGTCCTTTGTCCATTGCAACCACCCGCTTCCACTGATAGGCTCCCTCCACATCTTTTTTATCTTTTGTCAATTGATTTGTCTATAAATTTCAATAATTTCACCCTACACCTCTTCCTCCTCGTCAGAATTTACTTCAGACGCCGGAAATTGAAAAATCGCCATTACGTCTACAACTCTGTCACCATCCAGTTTCTTTACCTTCTTCCGAGACAGCGGGCTGATCATTAAAATTGATAGAAAAAGCGATAGACAAAGAAGACATATATCCAGGGTATGGAGCAATCCTATTGGTTGAAATGCATGGTCTCTATAGACTGAGGGAGAAAATGATGGACTAATTATAGGGTATCTCGTGGATTGCTCTTAGTTAGTCTATTACCTGCCTCCTTTTTTTATAGAAACCACTCGCTTCCACCGATAGGATCTCTCCATACCTTTTTTGTCTTCTTTGTCTATTGATTTGTCTATAAATTTCAATAATCAGCCCGCAGCTCAGCCTTGAGCTCGTCGCCTCGTCGGTTTCCAGGACTCCAACTCTTCACCTCGAGTGCGCCGTGGCGGGAATAAAGAAATTACCGGGGGATTCGGAAGTGGGTGGCGTCGGCGTCGGGGGTCGTAAAACAATTTACGGTCCGACCCGCCGCCGCCGCCGAAGTTGTTTCCACGCTCAGTCGATAAAATGATGAATGCTCGATCCCGAGGATCGTGGATTAATTCCCCGATCGATCCGCTAACTTCATCGCCCGCCGCACAATAGAACGAGTCAATATGAGGAGTCGGACAAAATTTGGAAAATTTAATCGCTATAACTCCGTTATTACACAACTTTGAGGTTCTGAAAGTGGTTTCATTGGTTTTCTCGTGAGATTTTCTTCTAGGAGCACTTCTTAAAATATCAAATATGACGAAATAAACATAAAAATTTGCAGTTTTAGTCAAAAATGTCATGTCCGACGTCTCTACCTGACTCGATCCACTGTGCGCCGACCGGACCACGGATCCCGAATCGGGCCGCCGTGAACTCGAAATAAACAGGACCACGCTTCTGGACCGCCCCTAGGCTAGGTCTCACCAAGCTGTAGATCAAATCCGTCAGAGCGAGAGCTTAATATGCTCTCCGGGAGAAAAAAAAGGCACGAAAGACGCATTTGTGCCTTTCAACATACATAAGTTCAATCGATTCCCTTCACAATTTAACTAACTTCATCTAACGTCAGAAGAAACTTCCCTTTTTGATTAAATTCATGGTATCTGGAATCAAGGAACTTTCCAGAAAATGTGCCTAAGTCAAAGAATCGTGTGTGAGAAAAATGCATTTTAAGTTCCTTTACCACAATAACTCTTCTTCACAGTGTAATTTTTCATGACAGTTCGAAAGTATTTTAAGCTGGAATACTCCAAGTAGCGTTATTGCTGTGCAGATATCAATAACAAATTTGCGTAACGGAAGCTATGCGTCAAAATGGAGTTATAACTCCAAGAATTTTCCGAGAGGGACAGTGCCGGATTTATCTACTTGCCGACCCCTTCTCATTCGTTTTGAAACATCAATAAAAACCATCAAGTGAACGTGCCGGAGGGGGAGGGGTGCATAAGAAGCGTTTACCTACTCGTGTTGGACACATTTTTTGCGAAAGCCCTGTCAACACCACTAGCAAAAGTTCACGGAACTTCGTGCGAAAGTTCAGTTCCGTAAACCTATCTCTGTGGGGACAAGGCCTTTCATTTGTAAGAAATGAACTAAAAAATTAAGAAAGAACAAACATAAATGTGGTTTAATAATTTTAACTTCCGCCGCTGCGCCGCGCTGATCGCACTGTGATTGGCGCAATGCGTGAAGTATTCCTGCAGTCTTGTAGGCGCTATACGTTTCACGCCAACCGCTCCTGACGGTCAGGACCTGACCGCACTGGGTTTGGCGCAATGCGTGAAGTATTCATGCAGTCTTGTAGGCGCTAATATGTGTTACATGCCGATCGCTGCGCCCAGGGTTTGTCCTTTTCATCTCAAGTCCTCGTTATCATTCCTCTCTGCGTTGAGCTCCAGGCCAAATTGCGAGTTTAGTTCCTCTTTTCACTCTAATTAAAGATGTATTTTCTTGTATCACCGGAAAACGACAAAATTAGAAATTAC